ATCAGTTCTTATTTTCAAGTGATTATACACTACCTATAAATACTATTATATTCAGTTTCTGCTAATAGATCCTTCTAAATGTTACACTTTTAGAAAAAAAATATTTTTTGTGCTGTTAAATGTTATCAACCCACATCTTTTCTTAAATCTTTTATTATTTCTGCTTTGAGCCCAAGCCAGGTCTCTGTTTATAAAGAATGTTGCCACTTTTAACTTACAGGCTGGCTGGCTTGTGTTGTCACTGCTAGTGCAAATTTTATGTGAAGGTCTATTTTTAAAGTCCTAAAATAACACTAGAATACCAGCTCATATATTTTGAGAGGCAAGTGTTACTGAAGGTCATAACCACTTCTTGAGTTGTAAATGCTAAAATGTTCCTGTCAAATTTACGAACTTGCCAAAATGCTTTGACTTTTATCTCCTCTCTCTTCTGGTTCTGCACGTCTTTCTCTCACTGTGATCTATTTTACATCTGCCGCTCACCCTCAGGGGCCGTCTCTGTGTATTTCCGTCTGCAGGTGTAAACATGAGGAGCTAAGCAGATAACCTGGAGTATGTGGGAGATAGTAAGGAAGGATTTACTGCTGCTGGCAACCTCGGCTTTACAAGTAATTCACTTCAAGACCCAAGAGGGTAAACAGAGCAACGGCTTAACTGGGAAAAACAAGGGGGATGGTGGGTGAAAAGACGAGCACGGAGGCTAATTAGACGGATGTTTGGCCACTGCAAACACACAATATTAGAGCTTAACCTTACTGGCTCCAAGTTAACTCTGACCTCTGTGCAGCCATCTAACCCCTGGATGTATAGTGTTTTTGATTCCCTCCATCCCCACCAGCCCTGACCCACCAGGCATCATCAAAAGCCCTAAGATGAGACCTTGGCACGGAACCACCACTTCCAGAAAGTGCATCACATTTCAGCCCCCCACCCCACCAGGCTATTCGCGCCCTGCTCGTCATGCAGAGGGAAACACCAGTCATAAAGAAGGCAGGATCTGCTCATAAATACTGAGCCGACCCTCTCTGGCCTGCCACCATCACCCCTAAAATGCAGGCAGGAAGTGGAGAGCAGAAACCTGAGCTGAGCATCTCTGCAGACTAATGGGGCAACCAAAACATGAACCACAAAAATAGACACACACATACACCATTAGAGGATGCACACACATTATTCACCCGGTTTGTGCAGGCAGATATGGTTTCAGGAGTAACCTGAGCTGTATCCCCTTTGCCGCTGCAAGAAGTGGGATCCCTGTGCCTGTGCAATGCACTCTATATGTGCATGGTATTCCATACATAGATGACATTTATGTGTCATCACTTCTCTGCTTCAATTAACCCATTATCCTTCAGCCAGGGTCACCAAATGCATATTTCAGCAGCCAACCTGTCTGCAGACAATTAGGTAATCTAATCATCCATCTTAATTTCAGGATGGAAAGGGAAGATTTAAATATAAAATATCAACAAATGATCAAATGAGCTGGAAATTCATGAGAGTAGAATATTCAGAAGTAAAAATAATTTTCTATTTATAAATGTCATTAAGCTTTGCACATTTTTTAAATAGCTCTTTAAGTGTGTGTCTCTTACCCCCAGCAGGTCTCATCAGGCCACTGCCCTGCAGAGAGGGATTTGGTGGCACCACGGGGGTCTGGGGAGGACAGGGTCTGTTCCTCAGCTTCTCCGTCTCCCTCCTCATCTCCTCCATCCTGCGCTGAAGTCCCTCCAACTCCCGCTCCAAACGCTCCTTCTCTCCTTGCAGCAGGTTCCTCTCCCCCACAGCCCGGGTCAGCGCCTCCTGAAGCTCAGGCTGAGCTCCAGCCCCGGCTCCCTGGGGACCCCTGGCGTCCCCTCCAGTCAGCCGGGACACCAGCACCTCCAGCAAGCTGAGTCTGGCCTTCAGGCCCTCCATCTCGGGGCCTCCAGTCTGTGGGCAGCTGGCCTCGACGGGGCTGGGCACAGTGAAAGTGTACTGGCATCGTCCACTTCGGTCGTTTCCCCTCCACAGAGCAGCTCGGTCCTGTGCGTCACCTCGCAGAAGGAGACCACAAATGCACAACAAGAGAAGGAAGAACATACTGCAGACGGTCCTTCCACACAGACAGATCAGAAGCTTACTTTAAATTCTCCCTCTGAATTACTTTCTTCTGCCAAGGCTTCTTTTATTTTCCAGTTCTTAACTGGAATTCTCTTTTAATCATTTACTAAATCCCAATTTTCTGGGGACGACTTAGTGCCTTACTCTGTCTCACGCTTTCCTCAGGTATCTCTTCTTCTTCTTTTCCCCTGTCTCTCCTCACTGAACAGGTCTGTTAACACTGAGCTCTCTGCAACAGCTCACAGATATTTATACAATCTGGAGGGGAAGGAAGGGGCAGAGAGGAGAGGTGAAAGAAGGGAGGGAGGGGAAAAGACTGGGGAGGAGGGGGTATCAGAGGCAAAGGGGGAGGGAGGGAACAGGAGGAGAGAAAGTAATGGGATGCTAGTTGTTTTGGTGACACAAACATCCCAAAAACATTAGATTTTCACACAAGTTTGAGTGTCTGTCTTTCTGCAGAAGCTGTTTTTTGGATTAAAGGCTCCGACATGAAGGCCCTCAAATCTGTGTAATTCAGCCTCTCCAGTGTCATTTATTCATCTGTAAAAACGTCCTCTTACTTGTGTGATGCAGTCCCATGTGTTCTAGAGGGATTTGGTTGAGGTTTTGGCCCCTGCATGGCAGGGAAAGCTTGGCCTCATTGGATACAATTACCTCCTGAGGAGCCGGTGTCCACTTTCATATTGGTATGGGGTCTGACGCAAGCAGCCAATAAGGGATGTCATTATGGAGGGTCGAGGTTACAAGTCAATCGATGACCGGACACCTGACGCTGACCCCGACATAGACTAGGTCCCTACAGCTGAACTTGCTGGGAACAGTGTGTTTACATATACATGCTGCAGACTCCACTCACTGCCGTCTTTTTTTTACATTTATACTTAATAGAACATGAGTGAGCTGCCAGGGGGCATAACTCCCCGAGCTCATTCCCTTCATCATTGCTGTCTGGGTGGATTTGTTACAGTCTGATACAGTCTTGTCCCCGCTCTTTCGTCTCTTTGCTTTAACACAATATCACAGACACGTTGAAGCGCTGCCTGTGATGCTCACTTCTACAGTCATGCGATACGGAGGATGATCCCTTGTTTATTTTCAGAGAGGCAGTGAAAGATATGAAAGTTACTCTCATATCCTGCCTCTTTGTTTGGGTTCCTAAAATCTGGCTCCTCTCCTACCCCTCTTCTTCACGTGTACTTTCTCCTGCGTACGTTCAGACTTCTTGGACATCCATCTCCACTGACCTGACCTGCCAGGCCACCCTGAACCCTGAAACATCACCTGACCCAGATGCTTCACACCAGGGAGGCCGGAGGGCAAAGAGGGGTGCAGAGGGGAAGTGTGCACACTTCCTCTTGCAGGCCAGCCTCACCTGCTTCTGTCAGTGCTCATTTACAGACAGCTGGTGGTACCTGAGACACTTGTCTTGATTGATGAGGCAGGTCTATGATTGGTTGGACAGACCGATGGATGGATGAATAAGCTGCGGAATGCATTTGATTTTAAAAAAACACGGTATTAACAGTCAGGGTACATCCTCTTACAGGAAATATTTTAACAATGAGAAACCGAAGAGAGGGAGGAAGGTGGAATAACGGACTGAATAAATCATCATTGGAGCAAAACCACATGTAAACAGAAATGGAGACAATAGAGGAAGAGGAGAGAATCTGTGAATAAAGAAGCTTCTGGGAAAGTAGGAGTGGGAAACAGGGTCACTATAAGGAGGGAAAAATAAAGGATGACTTGGGTTTAAACATTTGAAAGCTGTTTTATTCACTAGAATGGCAGTGGGTATCAAATGTAGATGGATTTCTCTTTCTGGAGATTTATTCTTTACTTCCTGTAGCTTGTGACTCATCTGTCTCTCCCCGTACAGAGGCAGGCTCCACTGGACGGGGTGTGTGTGTGTGACTGACTAATGCTGGTTGGCACATTGTCCTCTCTTCTCTCTTGTGAGTTTAGTTCACTTTTATGAGATTCATATAACCACTGCTATGCCTGGAATCTGAAGTCATCCAGTATTAGCCCCTAACGGAGGACCAAAACATCCTGTGCTGCCAGTGTGGGTGTGTCTCTGCAGGCAGAAGGGATACAAATTACCTCTAACGCACAAATATACAGTATGGTTTAACACAGATTGAATAAAGTCCTGACTAGAGGCAAAATCAAACCTCCAGGCACCCAGTTTGTGGTTGAAACAAATGACTTGTGTCTGCCAACAACGCACATCTCTGTGAGACCTGAAAAGAGCCGTAACATTTTACAGCCACTTGTCCAACCAGAACTTTACAACCTTTCATTTCACTGCAATCAAGCAGGAAGGACCGTGCAGTGGTACACAGGCTTCTCACCGCAGCTATATCAGCATATACAAATTTATGAGATTATCCTCTTCATCTTCAAAGCTGAAATAAAGCCATCACCCCCGACCCTGTGCACCAGCAACAGAGTGTAAGCTTGAAGGCCATCTGCCATAAATCAATGAAGTAAAAGACCCCTGTGGGCCAATTAATTTTTGCTCCCTCGGAAGGTTTGGGCAGTGCTGGCTGAGAAAAGGGCAGGGCTGTCAGTGTGTGTTTGTGTCTACAGTGCTGAGAGGACGAGAGCAGCGGGTCTGTCAGAACAATAACGCTCCGCAGACTCCAGTCCATCCAACTTTAGTGCCATCTTGGGATTCTGTGCTGCCAGTAAAGTCACAGTCCAATAAAAAAGTCAGGGTAATGAGGGGAGATAAAAAGAAAGCTCAGGACGTCACTGGATATCCTAAATGGTTAAGAGTGGAGAGATGGCATGGCGATTAGTTTTTCCCACTTTACCTTTTACTCATTCTGTTCTGATTTCCTCCTCCCCGGAAGATGGTGGACCAGTTCAAACCAGATTAAACCAGACCAGTGCCCTTTTGAATCACTTTATTTATCATTTTAAAGCAAAACAGATCAATATATCACAGTCTTCCAATGCAATGCCGGAGTATTATACATCATTATAGAATCAATATTTACAGCTAAAATAAATTACATTAAAAATAATAAAATGACAATGAAAATGTGTATGTATTATACAGTTAATTAATCCACACACAATGACACCTACGTTTGTTTCACAGCTCACTTAAATTACCCCTCCTTAAACATAATGTAACACTACAGCGATAAACTGTCCCTTCAGTGGAAATACCAGCATTCATACAAGCATCACATTGAGCGACCAGCAAAAACAAGAACTTAAAAACATTGAAAAGAAATACAGAAAACTGTATTAAAATCAAACCAAACCATCTGTGGAGACAGTTTAATGTCACTAGCATGAAAGTGGGATAACCATGACCAAACCAGCCCAGAGCTCAGCACAACCCAAAAGGAAGGTGAGAGGTTTAGAGTGGCAAGGAGACATTCATAACCTGGATGTTTTGGTTTGATGTGGTCCTGCTGTACAGTATAACAAGCGATCAAGAGGCAGACGGAAATGGAATAGCGGTAATTTAAGGATTAGAATCACATTATCAAGCAGGATTTTGTCTGACCAGATGGCGTTCTTTTCTAGTCCATTTTTCAATCATCTGCACTGATGAGGAAACATACCTGATGAGTGAAATCATCTTTTCTAACAGAAAGCCTTTTTGATGATTAAGAGAAGCCACCTTTGACTACACAGATGAACCTCAGATGTTCCCTCGCCTCGTGTTGAACAGTGAAATGAAAATGTTCCCCATAAACATTCTCATCGCCAGGCGGTGAGAAGACAGCACACAAGGAATCATGGGTAGACATCTGAGGTTCATTCGCTAAATGTTAGAGCCCTATTATAAGAGGCTGCTGCAGCACATTCAGACCAGCTTGTTGGCATGGATTCCCTGCCTTTACAGTATCTATCTATGTTATGTAATATGCAGGACCTGGAGTTTCCCTGTTGTCAAGGCAAAGACAGGGCACTACATGTGATATGTATCATGGAATGGAGCACTCCTTCACATTGACTAGAGGGCTGAGAGTTAGTGTTTTCTCCCAAACTGTGTTAAAATATCTCCCCAACTCCCCTGTGTCCCCCTTTCTGTAGCCGAGTATCTAACCAAGGGATCAACCCGAGTCTTAGTACCAATCTCACAGCAGAGTTACGTGGAAATACCGATGATAAGATCCGTACTAATGGCAAGGTGAGGCCAGATCCTTGAAGGTACACAGGCTGACACTGAGGGGGGTGTGGGAGGCTGGCTGGCGCCCCCTAGCGGGAGTGGGGGACTGTGTGCAGAGGAGAGGGAGAGGAAGAAGAGGAAGAGGAGGGTTCTCCCCCATCCTCCTCATCAGACACTAGCGATATCGCAGGATCACTGGAACTGAAAGAGAGAAGGAATATTTTGTGAGAAGTTCTGGTTGTTATAAACTTAAAGTCCCCCTCCAGTCAAAATTCTGTTGTTCCTACAGTGTGATGTTTAAATGATGTATGTGCAGAGTTTGACACTAGAAGGATGTTTTCATATTCATCTGCTGAAAGTGGAAAGTTTTCTATGCTCAATGAAAATCTGATTTTAAGGGGCAGGCCTACAAGCATGATCACAAAGTCAATTCTGGTCCAGTATGTAACTTATACAGTGTGAGGTAGAAACTTGAAGCCACCAATGCAGTGCACATATGTACACTGTGAATGGACTTTACAGAGAAGTAGGAGACATCTTGTGTCCAGATGGAAAACTAAAGAAATGAACATAGTTTGCATATTCATAGAATCTGGAATTTTTGGCCAAATACTCACTGATGATAATGAGCAGGAGGGCAACAACTACCAAGGCAATGATCACCTTCATCTGCGGAAGAAACAACACACATTAAACACAAATCACTCATAACGCTGGATACCTCTGACTCCAGCTTCAATGTAAAAAATAAGACATACGCTTGAAGGTGTCACGCTTGAACACACACATAAAACAGACCGACAGCCCACCTTCATGTCTCTCCACCACATCCTCCTGTGCAGCTGTTTGGCTCGACTACTGAAGGCAGACGCGTTGTCCGATAGGCTCTCTGGAGCATCACATGGCCGCAGCACAGATGAGGACACGTGAGAAGAAGAATACATTGGAGAAGAGGGGGGAAAAAAACATTTGTTAATCAGCAAGTAAACAATAAGCTGGCTATTGTTTTGACTTTGATGTTGTCTAAGGTGACTCAAACTGCTTGGCTCTGTATTGTGCATGTGTAGTGAAAAGGTGTTACAGTTATGTAAGCCTTAGCTCTGCTGGTGAGATCACTCCTATGAACAGTTTTTTTTTTTTTTTAATATTGGCATGAAATGTTGAACAACAAGTTGTCAAATTTATACACATTTGCTCAAACTTCCTCCCTCCTGTCCCTGTCGTGATGTCCCTCTTCAAAATGCTCGCCCACACTACTCTTTCTGTTTCTTGGATACTGTTGTTAACTTGATGTTTATGCATGTTAACAAGAAGGTTAGAGCTCCCTAGCGTGCGGCGCTGTGCTTGTCCAGGCCCCCGTCCCCTCTTCACAGTCTTTGTGTCTGTCATGTGTCTGCCGTTTCCACTTCCACGTGCCTGTTAACGACCTGTCACTACTACAAAGGGAAGCTCTGAGAAGATGCTTGTTAATCTTAAGGAATTTAACAACAGGTTACCTGCACATGGGCCAGACAGCAAACTTCAAGTGTCAATCACAACATATTATATTGCTCACATAAAAGATGCCAACTAAGGACAACACGCACTGTGGAGACACGCAACCAGCCGTACAAATGTTCCACAAATACAGCTAAACTCACAGATACACAAACACTCGTGCAAACTCAAATGTGTTCCAGATGTGTGTCATCGTCTTGGCTGGTCAACATGACAGAGAGAAGAAGTTATACAACATCTGTCTGGACGTCATGATGAGGCCTAATAGACGAAGCGAGTGACACGATCTCTTCATCCGACAAGGAGGAAAAGAAGACGACCAGTGCGTGTTTTGTTGAAAGCCTTACATGTGGGTGAAGTTTTGGAACGGGGCGAGCTAAACACATTTCACACACCTGTGTCATACACACCGAGCGAAAAAAAAAAAACGGGGCTGTGTGAATGTGAGACCTGTCAAAAGGTTTCAGACACACACCTGGTAAAACACTAAAGCTGGACATGCCATTAACAACTTTGAAGTGTACCGAGTGTATGTTCATGCAAGCACTCGCTCCTTCTGTACACACCCCCGGTCCTCTCACTAAAATATGTGACATAAATTACATATTCCTGCAAAGTTTAATTTAAAGCTACAATGATTAGTCAATTAATTGACTATTATGATTACTATTATTATTCTGCATCTATTTTGATGATCAAATAATCATTTCAGTCATTTTTCAAGCAGAAATGCCAAACATTCAGTGGTTCCAGCCTCTTAAATATCAAGATTTGATTACATTTTCCCCAGTGTATATATTAGTAAAATTTGAAGACGTCACTTTGGACTGTGGGAAATTGCAACAACATTTTTCACTATTTTTTGACAGTTTGGCAATATGCAAGCAGGTTTGAGATATCTCCAGAAGTTTTTAATATTATTAACATGACAAACCAAAACCTTCACTCTTGATTTAAAGATACAAATACGATAATAGACCTTCTGTTCCAGCTCAGGTCAAACAGAGTCAGGGTGCTGCTATTGTTCATGCTGGCTCACTGGAAAGTCTCTGCTACACTAAATGGAATGTTAATTAGTATCATCAGTAACACCTGTGTTTACCCTACTATTTCATGTCAAAAAGGTCTACTGGACCTCATTAAGAATATTTTTCTTTTTAAAATGGATGCACATTGCAGAAATGTTAACATTAACATAAGCTAATGCCAAAATATTCCTACATACAGTGAGGACAACAATCCTCAGAGCCATGTGCAAACCATCTGTAAGCTAAACGGACTTCTGTGCAGAGTTTGTTCATTCATTTTACTTTGCACATGTGGACAAACACAAAAGCACAGGCTTGCCCCAGTGTGACTCACCCGACTTGTCCTGCAGGTCGTCGAGACGCTCGCCCCTCTCTATCACCTTGGAGATGTTCTCCTGCATCACATCAATCACTTCATCAACCTGCGACTGCACCCTGAGGACACAAGTTGGTGTGAGGCACAGAAACACAAATAATAGAAATGAATCAGAAAATATATATATAAAAAAAGGTAGGATTTGTCAAGGATTGATCTGTTTTTTTTCTTGTAACCACTAAAGCACAAAGCACCTGTTTTCCCAACAATATCCTCTTCTCTATATCTAGCCTTGTCCAGTTGGCAGGCAATAAAAAAAAGCCTGTTTTACAGCCTCACTGTGACCTGCCAGGACCTGTGCAGTATGTGCAGAATTATGCTCAAATCCTGGCTTTATTCACAGTACCTGAGCATGGCATGACTAAGCCCAGATAACCCCTCAGTCACTCTTATTTCAAAGTAATTCTGAGCAATACCTCTTGGAGAGATGCAGGATCAGCAGGAAGGAGGACATTGGCAAATAAATAAGAAAAGCCAGAGGGACTCATAAGCAAGATACAAGACAAAGGAATCTGTTTTCTCTCACGATTGATCACATTTTCCATCACCATTACACTGCAGGAAACTAATCAGTTTTGGACTTAAGCCTGATTGCAGGTTGACGGCAGTAATACTAAACATGGAAAGACACAGCCAGAGCAAAAGCACAGCATTAGGAAGACGCATGGGCTGCCACAAATACACACAGACACATGGTGAGGACCTGACCTTTGGGGTTCAAGTTCAGACACACACAGAGGTGAAGGGCCTGCGCAATGTGCACACAACATTCCTGGAATTGGTAATGATGGCATCTGGTTTCATGTGCTCACAATGACAAACTGTCAAATATGAACAGAGCGTGGAGAAACAACCCTGGGTGCCAGACTGTCTCAACAATAACCTCCTCTGCTCTCTGGCTGTGTCTGACTGGAGGTTAATGTGGAAACAGACTGCAGAGGGACTGGGGCGTCCTGGGAAGGTTACACAATAACCTGCACACGGCAGCCTCTCTTACACAATCTTTTAACAACTTGCAGTTTCTGGTAAACATGACGGACCACGGTTGCATAACACCAACATCAACACCAAAACTAAAGGTGCTGGCAATACTCCTCTGACCTCCGGCTTATAGATGTAATGAGGAATGTGTTAGTACTTACTGCTTCATTTTGTCATTCTGAGGTCCAAATCTGGGTCCTGTGGGCCCTCTCCTGGAAAACAGGCAATAACGACGCCAAAGTTACCAATTTAATGTACTAGATTTTATGTACTCTTGCTTTAACGATCCCTATTAGTATTACTGACCTCATTATCTGGGTAAATTGTAACTCTGCTGTGTAAAATGTACTTTAAATTTGATTTATCATTATTCTAATGAACTCGGTGCCTGAATAGAATATATCCTCGCACAAACTCACAGAAAGAAGTCTTCCTCCTCGTCAGAGTCCTCCTCCAGCAGGTTCCTCTGTCAAAGAGGAAAAGGTCATAAGTCAAACAGGGGTAAGCCCTAGATATTGAATTACCTGTCTTCTAATCAGAGATCATCCCATGAGGGGAACTGCGGTCACTGGGACAAATTGGGACCCTCAAAACAACAGGAAAAAAGCACTTCTACTGTTAGGAAGCCATGCTTTTCAATTCTGGTTGCCTGATAACAACTTCCTCCTTTGTTGTGGACAAAGACTAGCAGGTCTAAAGGGCCAGAATTTAGTATTTTAGCACTTGAAATGCTTTCACATGTTGGGTCCGGAACAAGCTCCAGTACCAGCGTCTTGCAGGTTGAGAGTACATTCCTGGCACTCACAGCAAGAGTTGCTGATACAGAGATATGAAACTCGTATCACCAGATAGCTGCTGTACTGATCAATAAAAAAAAACTGGCATGGCCAAGTACACTGCTATTTATAGTGCACTTACATTAAGATGAATTGCTCTGCTGTTCAGCTTGCCAAATCTCAACATCTAACTCTGACAAGCAAAATCAGTTTGCTAGGAAGCCAACATGGACCTGAACAGAGCAGTCTCTGGGATCTCAAGACACATTATCTACAGAAACAATGCCATAGTCACAACTATTTCTGAACCAACTGATGGCTTTAATAGGGACAGAAAGTGTGTAAAATGTTACTCATAGAGAATTAGTGAGGACAGCTACATTACAGTCTCACAAGGAGGAGAATTGGACCAGGAGGAGACAGTATGAGTCTGTTTCTCATTGGATGGCAGACAGGAGACCTATATTCACAGATACTGGCAAAGAAAGGTCTTTAACTAGATATTACCTATGAAGGGAAGGAGACGTGCATACAGTATGTTGTTAGAGCAGCATTAATTACAGCATGCAGAAGTAGTGTAGTAGTAATAGTTAGATTAAATCTAATTTTTCAAGTATGGTATTCTAACAATCACACCCTGAGCTGAGAGAAGGAGAAGCTGTGGATGTTCTGTAATGTTGACAGCTGCCAGCCAATGCTGTGCCAATACAGACATCTTATTTTCTTGAAAATACACTGTCATCTGCAAAAAAGCTTAGGGAATGGTGGCCATATGATCATAAAATAGTTTATAAGTCGAGGCACTGACGCTCTCCTTCTGTTCAACGTCTTTCTTTCTTTCCACTGTCTAGTATTGGAGAACTGGTAGCTATTATCAGAGGGCAGGAGGTAGGGCAGTAAAAAAGGAAAGCGTGGAAGATGGAAGGGAGCATTTTGTTATGCAAGTCTTGCCGTAAGCTTAGCTTTGATCCCAGTTCAACACAATAACAAACAGGATTACACAGAGGAAGCACAGGACCGAATAAAGTAAAGAATCCGAAGGAGGACAGGGAAGGTGAAGGTGGGTGGGAGGGGATGATCACTTTGATGAGAACCAGACATTTGGCTACAGAAGGTCCACTCTCTTCCCTCACTTTTCCTACCAATATTAAATTAATGGACATATTACAGCAAATTCTGCATCTTATATTAACAACTGTTTCGGACATTTCAAATGAATTACTTTCAACATTCCCTACTTCTATGATTACTGTGTAAAAGGAAACAAATCATTGTTTCAGCTTTTAACCTTATCCTAATTACAGCATGCTCACTGTCAATTTGTAAATCACTTCACAAACTCTTTTTGCCTCTTCCAGCCCCTGATGCTCCAAACACCGTCACCCCCTCCATCTGTGTCTCACCCTCTCGCTGCGAATGGATCCCGTGACCTCATCGTCATTGAGGTGTCGTTTAAACTTGGGGGGCATGTTGTCGTCTGGCTGCTCCTCCCGATCTGGCTCCCTCTGTAGGACAGTAGGAGAAGAAGATGATCAGTGTGGACAGAGAGCTCTATGAAAACAGTCCTCAACACACCTGCACCAAGCCACAAAGATCCTGTCGCTCATAAATGTTACACATGACAGCGTGCTAAATAAGAGTACTCTAATATTGGTGGGTGGAAGTGAGTGATTTCACTTGCAGACGTAACAGCCAGGTCCTGCCTGGGAGCAGAACAAAGCTTTAAGTGTATGAACAGAGTGAGACCCTGAATCTAAACTCGCTCAGTAATGATTGCATTATTGAGACTGCTCATGGTCCCAATGCTTCCTGTGTAAGAGTCTGACTCTGTCATTACTCACAGAGCTGATTTCATTATTTCCTCTACAATCTAATACTTGCCTCTGGAACATGTTAAGAAGGTGGTGCTTCCATTGTGCCAGCCTTTATACTGGCAGAAATACTGTTTTATGTCAGTAAACTAAGAAATATTACTTCCTATTATTTCTGGTGTGAGCAGACATCATTGAGTCTCACTAGCTATGAAAGGAAATGCCATCACAGCTCTGCGTTCCTTTGGATGAAAAAATCTACTGTGTCGGATATGGAGAACATGCTGTTCTTCCAATTACGACCCCCCGAGTCTGTGTTAGGGTGTTACTTGTTCCAAATAGAGTGACAAAACACAACAGTGCATCAATAAAGTGCCTCTGTGACACTGACCTAAACTACATGTGATCCTCAGGCCCTACAGTAACCATCGGGGGTGGGGAGGGGGACACAGCAGTCTCACTCACACACACACCACCTTTCTCAATCCAACAATACAACTTATACCATTGAATCCAGTTCGGTCGGACACTGTGGCTTTCTCAGCAGCGTCCTTATCTGGCACTGCGTTTGGAAAAAGGCCTTTCAGTGGCCAGGAGAGGAGAGGAGAACTTTCCAGTAAACAGAGAAGCAGAGGACAGGGCTCTATCTGAAGCAGCAACAGCGTGAAGAGACACAAAGAGAAAGAGGACAAGCCAAGGTCTAACATGTTAGAGTGGCAGAAGGAAGACTTTAGACAACTAGTCTATTTCAAGAGAGGAAGTTTAAAGGTGCAATCCAGAAAAACAAACAAACATTGGATTCAAATCAAAGTTGTGATTTATAACAGAAATACCAATTGCAGACATTGTATTGTCAGGTTTGGAAAGAAGAGAATTGTAGATTATTAAGGATCACTATCAGTTTATGGATTGCAACTTTAAGCAAATACTAAGAGAAGAATGTAACACAATGCCTAATCAATTTCTAACATCAGAGGAAAACAAGATGCTGCTTTTAATGGATCGAGTACAGCTATTTTTTTAGCTGAATACTACTATTTACTACTAATGTAATAGCTTCAAGGTCCGAACAAGGACTCCTTAAAAGGACCCAGGACCTAAAATAAATAAAACTGAGCTCATATCAGGAACAATAATTAACATTATATCACAACCATTGACAAGTCGTAGCTGGTTGAGGTGTTTGTTAGCCTACATGTACGCAGAATATCGTTGTCTATCACACTTTAATCACTACATTACAACGCCAAGGAAATTCAATTGCAAAGGGGGCAATGTAAACGCCAACATAGCTAGCTACATGCTAATTTAGCTAGTTCAGACAGGCCGCTTGGTCCATTGACAGATTTAGCTACCCGGCTAAGCTAAGCTAAGGATGCTAACTCGTCTAGCTACCTGCTGTTTCCTTCAAGATCCGAAGCTCGTTGCTGGCGAACACAAACAAACAGAGGCTCGGGTATTAATCCAGGGCTCTTCAGGGTTCGAGGTGGCTTCACGGTTTTGTCACTTTCATTTCAGATGTTGTCCGGACGATGAGACAGGATTGTCATTATGGATGCTAGCGGTCCGGTTGTCTTCTCTCCGTCAGCTGACCAGGAAGTGAACACAAACAGCTGGAGGAGGAGGAGGAGGAGGAGGAGGAGGACCGCTGCAGATGTTTGACAGCGTTATGCAGCAAATAAACAACGCTTTGGTATTATTCTGGATGATAAATTCAAGTTAAAACATATTCTTTGTAGATTTTATATAACTATCTGTTCATAGAAGTGTTATAAATGACACCAGCCAACAGTGTATAAAGTAAATTATATATTATATTAATGTATTACTCACAGTGGACATTTTTATGTACTTTCTGTCTTTGTCACATGGTAGTCTATTACTTTTGTAACCTAACCACATTGAAATTGGGTATTTTTTGGAGCTTTTTTGTGTAGTTTTACTTTTACTTTTACTTCTCCTAAAATATCTGAACCCCTCTTCACCGCCTGTTTCAGGGTGCGTGTCTTCCTCTCCTGTAGGGGGCAGCAGTGCGTCAAGCGTGTCCAACATGTGACGAGAAGAAGAAGATAAACTTTTCCCGGAAGAGATCGCTGAATTGGTTGGTAAGCTAATTGTTTATCACACTGCGTTTAGACACATGTTATAATGGTTTCCCTGAATCAGTTTAACAGACGGTGTTTCTGTACTGCTGGTTGTTAAAACTGTGTCTGGTGCTGTGTCTCTGTAGCTGCTCACACTGTCACATGGAGATGCAGAGTCCTGGAGGCAGCGCTGGTCAGTCTCATCCTCTGTTTGGAGGAGCGCTGTCGGCTGTCCTCCCTCACAGCGCCACAGACATCAGTGAGCTCAGGGAGATCCCGGACAACCAGGAGGTGTTTGCCCACGCACACACCGACCAGAGCCTGATCGTGGAGCTGGTGGAATACCAGGGTCAGGTGGCAGACCAAGACGCTGCCAGGTATCACTTTGAAGACATCGCAGGCAGTAATAAAGCTTTAGAGCCAGGTGCTTTCGAAGTGACCAGTGTTGTGCCCCTGCCCAAGTCTGAGCTGTGCCTGGCAGACTGCAGCTCTGCTTGGATGCTGACTGGGACGCAGTGTGTGTCCAAATTCAACGAAGAGGCGAGGAATACAGTGACCCTTCACCTGGGTCTGTTCCGTCTGCCACAGTTCTCCACTGATGTCCTGATAACCTTCAACGATCCGCAGAGCATCAGCCCTGACAGCAGCAGTGCTGCTTCAGCGGGGACACACAGAGAGCCATGGACGGTGCAGGACTTCCAGCGCTTGTTGCAGACTCTGACTCTGCACAACCCAGAGCTGTTTGGGTAGAACCAGGGCTGCTTTCTCAGAGTGGGACCTCACCTGATTACAGATTTAGTCTCAGGCACATTAGGACTGTGTTCTGATGGGGCTTCACCAGAATCTGGTCCACAGCATGCTTTGGGTCCCAACCCCAAAGTTTTGGAAGCAGTTCCTTAAAGCGGTGGTTCTGTCCCTGCTGTGACACCTAGGAATACATGTTCTGTTCTGCTATTGAAGATGACACTGTTCTGACAACTACAAATGAACTGAAAACCCAACATCTCATGATATAAAGATAGTTTTTGTCATAATAAATGTTATGGATGGAAGGTCTTGGACTTGATTTCTTTATGTTGGATGACATTTGCCTTTACTGTGGGGATCTACAGTAACTCTGAAACTAAAATGTTTGTTTGTAAAGGTTGGCACCTCAGAGAAATGTGAGATTTGAGAGATGGAACTTTTCCACTCCTCTGTTTTCCACCACATGACCCTATGCAGTATCTGTAATGCACAAACCTCCCCTTACAGACCACTAAACATTCAGTTACTAAGACCCACCTTGTGCTACACTGCTCTAAAACGTTTTACAGTATGACAGTAATGAAAACACACAAGTAATGACAAAGGTCAAAGCAGAAGTCAGAAGGTTGAAGGTGAATTGAGATTCCACACATAAACTCCCTCTGGAGCATTTCTGATGCAGCTAATATTCATAGAGCCTTCAGTGGGACGTGAGTTTGGTCATAAACAGTGAAAACTGAGCAGACGCGTCCCAGCAGGAATATGTATTAGGTCAACTGTTTCCATCAGTCACTGCAGTAGCCTCATGGTGGAATAATTCATTAGCCTGAACCTTGAGAAACCTTGGAAAGACTTCATTCAAGGGTGAGTTTGGTGAAACAAAATTTATTTAATGGAAATTGACCCTCATTGCTTTAAAGATAAAACCAGCTCTCAGATTTGGAAGTATGAAGTCATACAGTTTGTAATGGAAGCTATTTTTCCTACGTGTGTGCCGTTGTTTGACGAAAAATATTGTATCACTAGAGTCTGGTGTTGAATAAAAATCATCACAGCGAGGGAATTCAGGTAAGAATTGCACAACAAGAACAACAAACAAGAGGAAGTACAGTCTGTCTCCCCAAAGCCACATCAAACCCTTCTCATGCTCTGGTGCAATCATGACGGATTAAGATCTCATAAAGTCAGGCATCCCTTCCTCTCAGTGATCCCAGTGTAGAACATTCCTTCATTAACCACAAAAGCAAAACTTCTTTCTAACTACGTGGGATAAACATGCTGTGGTTCTCTTTATAATAAAGTCTGAAAACATCCTGCTTTTCAGACCTGAACAGGATTTTTGGAACAGGTGTCTGACTCAAAGGTCGTGCCAGGAGACCATTTTTGAGGCATTATGGACTTAAAATGCGTTTTCCAGGTCCTGAAAATAGCTTATTACAAAGTTGCTTTTGGGTTACTATAGTGCAGTGGTCTCTAACTTTGTGGCTTGTGATCCTTGTCATATGCTTGTTCACATGCAGAGGGGAACAGTTTCACAAGAGAATGATTGTCTCCTAAGCTGTTTCATTTTGATCAATTAACAAAGGAGAAAAAAATCAGCAGAAGCAAAACATTATTTTAGAAAAATTGTTTTCCCCTATTCCATTAAATATTTCATGACTTTCCAACATCTTACATAACCCCTTTGGATGTCCAAGAGAGGAAATTACTTAGAGGACAAACACTAACTTATAAAACTAATACTTTCAATTCAAGTATCTGTATGCTGTGTTTAAAACCAAAAACTATGTAATAGTTGGACTGCACATACTTTAAATGTAATTGCACGGGTGCCTTGGTAGCTGACCTGGTAGAGCTGGTGCTTTATGTACCAAGACTGAGTCCTTGCTGCAAAAGCCATGGGGGTTTGACATGTGGCCCTTTGCTGTATGTCATTTCCCCTCTCTCCCCACTTCCCTGACTATCTTACCCTGTCCTATCAATAAAGGCAATCCCCCCCGCCCCAAAAATTTGTAAATGTGTATTTGCATGGTGGCAGACCTCCTTTTTGTAAACTTGAGTCATAAATAAAGTGTTCTTGTGTCCAAGGTTCAAAGTAGAATTGGTTGTGTTCCCCTCCGTATACAATACTCAGTATACAGAGCAACAAAACTGTGTTCCTTCAGTGAATATATGTATCCATATATAGTGTGGTGACCTAAAAGTGCCCTCACACATGTTAAGATCAGCCATATTTAATCAAAGACAGTGAAAAGTTCTTATGGAAAGTAATGTACATAATAGAAGAAGCACTGGTTGATTTGAGAACTACAATTTAATCACAGTGTTCTGAGTTCAAAAGATAAAAGTTAGGCCAAAAATGCCCAAAATATTCTTTGCTATTTATAAGACAAATGTAGAAATACATCACATTCAGTCTTATTTAGACTGTGAGTTTATGTAAATTGTTATAATAAAACATTGTTCTTAATTAATTTATGCATGTTCTGGTAGTTGGTTTGAACTGGGGCTAATGGTATTGAGCTGTGTCATGAGATTGACATTTACCCCAATGTTGTACAAAGGTGAGAACGTCTTTAGAAGAATGAATTAAGAAAGATGCTGTCATGAATGAAGTCAAATGAAACAAAACATGTATTTTTGTAACTCCTTCTTAGCTGACAACCTTTTAAATTCTCTGAAATGTGTACTGTATAGGCTGTATCTTGGGGCCCCATTGAATGCTGCAGCCCTGACAATAACTGTGTTGACTTTGAGTCGCAGAGGAAAAGAGGAAGAAGGAGGGATGCCTTCATAGCGATGTCTTTGACCTCTAGTGGCCTAAAGTCTGGAACAAATCTTCCTTGTTCTGTTGAAAAACTTGGATGACAGGTGAAGTGAAGTCTCCCTGATGAAGACAAATACAGCCTTCCTGTTCCTTCTCACAACAACTTGCTACTTCCTGACAAGTCCCCAAACAAAACTAGAAGTCTAAGCAAACAGAACAGTCCAGTCATTTCACAACCTACACAGCACCTTTTGTCTCAAAGTGTCACTTTTACTGCTGAGTATTATCACCAATAACCAGGGGCAAACGTTTTCTTGAATGTGATTAGAAAAGCTTCATAATAAACAGATAAATAGATAAATGAAGGAAGAATGCAATTAAAGTGTAAGCGCCATTAGATGAAATATTTGGTATAATACACAAAATAACTTGTCAGCAGTAATGGCAATAACACTGTTAACATTAGTTGTTTCTACTGTACTCTCTCAGAGGAATGCGTGTATATGTGCATATGTTTGACATTTTCAGTACATCTGGGAGGCATCAGTCACAGGTGTATGCATAGTTCCTGCTCAGAGATTTCCAGCTCCACGGTCGTTTATTACCTAAAGTCCCCTGTTATCACATACACACATACACACACCTCCTCCTCCTCCTTCAGAGACCCTCTCCTCCCACACCCTCTCTGGACTCCCGCCTGCACAACCCTCTCCTTCCCTCGCCAATTCCAGGAGCCAGTCTTGGCCACAGAGTGTTCTGCTGCTCTCATCAGGATCCTGGTGCTCTTCTTCTCCTATAATTTATGCTCTTCTCCAAGTCTACCTTTGTCATTCTGTGGAAGCAAAAATTCCAAAGCTTGTCTTTGAGTATCCACTACGGAACAATGAAACAAGTCTTGCAACAATTTCGGATGTCTTACCATATTATCTGGAGGGTATTTTTAACATGCTCAGTTCCTGAAAGTTGTAACTGCTGACATGAGGATATCATCACTAAGAATAACACATAGAGAGGGAATTTGTTTGAAAATTGACAAAACTTTATTCAAAATAAGGGAACAACTAAATTATGCACCACATTTTCTACAGGTAGACATTGTGATCACAAATCAGTTATCTGCCATACTTTTAAACCCAACAATAAAAATGTTTTAGTATTAAGGAGCATCTCCTCCATTGTCAAATAAGATGACTTTGATACATTTTGCTCCACATTCATAACCTGATGTTGGCCTCTTTAATCCTCCTGCTTCTTCCTCTTGCCCTGTGGTGAGTTATTGTTGGTTTGAGAGAAGTGCTCAGACATGGCAGCCAGTGCCCGGTAGCGGTGAGAGATAGTATTCTTCACTTCTTTGGGCAGTTCAGCATAACTACAGATGAAAGGGAAGAAGTTAATAATAAGTGTGTATATGTTTTAATGCTAGGCACAATAGTGATAAATAATCTCTGATGCACAGCATAAAGTGACAGGGATCATCACATTCATGCATGCTGCTGTATGAACTACAACGTTCAACTCATTTCTCCACTGTGTTGACCTCTGGCTCCCCCTTGTGGTAAGAACAGAAAACCTCTAGCAGTCATGTCTTACGTTTTGTCATATCCATCTGGCTGGAAACAGGGATCCCATCCAAAGTCTCGAGGTCCCCTTGGTTCCACAATGTGTCCCTAAATATACCCAAAGAAAAGAGTGAATAGAAAGTAAACACACACACACAAACACTAAATCAGTTAGAAAGAGATTCTGACCTCTGTTTTCCCTCTGAAGAGCTGTACTGGTTTGTCTTTCCCGGCAGAGAAAGCAAAGGTGCAGAGAGCCCATGCTGATTTATCTTCAAACCCGGCTAGGAGTTTGTACAAGCCTACAACAAAACATCTAACGAGATTAGAGGTGCTGGACCGCTCAATTAACTTTTTCTATCCAGCTCTAAATACCTCTGTTAAAATATCTCAGCAGTTGTCATCCGTTACAATATTTACCTTCTGGCTTGAGTTTGTCCAGGAACCATTTTCTACAAAAACAAAGTTGTTAGTTATAATTATTATTGTTTTCTACAGTTATTAAAGACAAAATGCTAAGCAAGCATTATTATACTAACATGTAAGGACCGGGCAGGCCTCCCAAAGCCTTGAAACACAGACAGGTGTCCTCCACTATGACCGGTCCATCAATCTGAAGGTGATAAACAACAACACATCAGTTTTCTATCATTCAACAGACATGTACACACAGAAGCTACAGTGTAGTTAGAGTACCTGTCGTGCGGCCTCCTTACACTTCTGTATGGAAATCTCATCTGGCTCTCCTTGGTATTCAGGCACTGGATAAAGAAAGCGTTTCAAGAGCAACAATAACATGAAAATATATATTCTGTAAGTGGTCTCTCTTTTCATACTTACAGTCAATCTTTTTTGACACTAGTTTGTAGGGAAACCTGTCTCCCAGGATCTGAATGACCTGATAGATGTGACCAAAAAGAGAGTCAAGTATAAATCTAGCAGGACTGCTTTTTGTCAAATTAAACAAAATACTGGAATAAACTGCAGCTCATGCTCATTGTCTATATTTAGCAAGCACAGTCTGATACAGCATAAAAACAAGTATCCTGCCTGGAACTGTTCAGACAGGACAGCACGACCGTTAGCACACAATCTGTCTCAGGCATGAAGTGTTTGACTTCTACCTCTTCGAGTTTCTTTGCGTTTCCAGTCACGAAGACCACAGACCTTCCTGCCTGCACAGCCATGATGAATAACACCCGGAGGATTAACGATATCGGACCGAACACTTCCGACTTAGCAACGGCCAATAAAATCAGCTCTGAGAGCCGCAGCCAATCACAGGGCAGTGTGTAACCCCGTCTTCAAGAAAATCCTCCAATCAGCGAGCGGTACTGCCAGCAATAGTGTCCGGCTTGAAAAGTAAGTGCAGGTGCCACTGCCATGTGGAGAAGCGGCTGTAAACACATTCTGTCACGGTAAACTGAGACATTTCGGACTATGAGTCTTTTACCTCGCACTGCCGAGGAGTTCAGCTCCGCAGAGTACTGGGAGAGGTTCTTTAAGAAGCGAGGAGAGAAGGCCTTTGAGTGGTATGGAGACTACAACAAACTCTGCGGCGTGCTGCACAAATACATCAAAGTCCAACATAAGGTAAGATACAGTGATGAGCACCATATACAGCCGATATACAGCGTCACTGCTATACATTTCAATACAGCATAAACAATTTGGGTGGACAATTCGCCTATTATTACTGTTTTTGTTTACTTCCTGCTAATATGTATGTCACTGTTCTTTCCTTGTCCTTTTAGGATAATAATAATAATAATAATAATAATACACATACACTCCCTGTCTGATGTGACCAGTGGTGGAAGAAGTATTTAGTTGCTTTACTTAAATAACCTCTGCGTCACAGAAGTCCAGAATTCAAGAGTTCAAGTTAAAGTACAGTGTATCAGCATGACTGTACTTTAAGTACCAAAACAAAGGTACTCGTTATGCAACAATATGGCCCCTGTGAATGTTATTATTTATTATAGAACTGGATAGTCTAATACTACCACATTAATGTGTAACTAGTGTTTACAGTACTACTTTACTCTTCTAGATGTTTGTGGTGAAGCCAGTTTTATCTGTTGGGTTGTTAAATCTACACAAATGCATCATACTTTAGAAGTGAATCATGTGCATATTATACATTGAATTTGCAATGTAACTTCAGCTGTCAAATAAAGTAATAAAGTAAGTAGTAGTAAAATCAATAAAGTCTAATATTTTGCAGTAATTGTAGTGGACTAGAATTATAATGTGGCATAAAATGGACCTTCTCAAATAAAGTACAAATACCACACTTAGGTAAATGTGTGTAGTTTCTTTCCATCACTGCCAATGACAATAACTGATTAATTAACAGTGTGTTGTACTTCTGTCCTTCAGGTGTTGGTGGTTGGTTGTGGTAACTCTGAACTGAGTGAGCAGCTGTATGATGTTGGCTACAAGCATCTAACTAATATTGACATCAGTGAGACAGTGGTGACCCATATGAACCAGCGAAACACTGAGCGCCGGCCAGGCCTGACCTTCCAGCAGGTGGATGCTACACAGACTCCATATGAGGATGCCAGCTACCAGGCTGCTCTGGACAAGGGCACGCTGGATGCCATGGCCTCTGAAGAAGAAGGAGCACTGGCCAGGAACATGCTCACTGAGGTGAGAAACCAATGGGTCAGGGTGTGCACAGATCATATGTTTTTTTTTCCTCAATCGGTGCACAGCAGTTTTCTTGTGTCTGCAGGTGGGCCGTGTGCTAAGCGTTGGCGGCCGGTATGTCTGTGTGACGTTAGCTCAGGAGAGTGTGATCAAGTTGGCTGTGGAGCACTTTGTCCAGCTGGGATGGGCAGTGAGGCTCCACTGCCTGCAGGAAGAAAGTGGGAAAGAAGAGGACTCCTTTGCTCTGCCTGTCTTTGTTCTGGTCTGCACCAAGTTTCGTCAGCCTATGCCGACGCCTATTCTGGAGATGTGTCTTGGGGAAGATGGAGCCCCTACTCGTCTCACACAGGTAACAGAGCTGCTGTCGGCTGTGAGGGAGCATCAGGCTTACTCTGTCTTGAAAAAGAGGCTTCGTACAGGCACAGACGCCAGCTCGAACCTGTCGCTCACTCTCTGTCATACCAAGACTGGCCTTCCCAGATACACTCTCACAGTACAAGACTGCCCCCCGGGTGCCAAGGTGCCAAGATCAAACCAGTTTGCTATTTTTATTGGTGAGCTCTTCTGTTATCTCATCATGTTTCTGCTTTCCTTTGTACAGTAAGTCACACTAGTTGTATTTTGTTCTTCTTTGATGATTCCCCCCCCCCTCTGTTTATCCTGTCAGTGCCTCAAGGCAGTGAGACAGCTTGGCTCTACAGCTCCAGTGAGGGGCGAAGGCAGCTGGCAGCTAGCGCTAACTTTCGGCGCCTGGTTATTGTGGCAATGCACAGGAATCAGGAGTACACAGACATGCAGGCTGTCCAGTCAGAACTCTCACCAATGGTGATGGACCTGGCTCCCCCGGGTATGCCAGCCAACCAGCAGGTACATGCACACAAGTGTTTGTTATAGAAATGTCCAGTACTGTTGTACAGTAAAGCAGCATGTCGCAAAAATGTGTGCATCTGTGAATTAATTTGATCTCTCTGTCACTATTCAGGTGCCGTTTCTGTCAGTTGGAGGTGACCTGGGTTGGAGAGAGGAGGTCAGCAGGGGTGTGAGCGAGCTGAGCGGAGAGTACTGTGTGGAAAATGTGAAAGGAGAAGACGGAGAACTGTATCGGAGACTCGTTTTCCTGTCTAATGCTGCCCTTGTCCAGTCAGAGAGCCGCCTTGTCCCTTCAGGTACTGGTCAGTTTTTTACTGTAATTTGTTGTGCACCCATCAAACAAAGATGCCAACAAACAATAACAAATATTAATAATATCAACAAAAAAGAAAAAGTATTAAAGTGTTGTTTTTATATACAATATATAATATCATAATATTATGGTCAATTATTATAACAAATGATTGAATATTTATGTCCCTACAGCATCAAGTCACAAGAAGAAAAACAAAAAGAAGGTCAAACCAACAGCTGCTCCAACTCCTCCTTCAACATCTCTGTCAGTGGACAGTGGCTTCCTCTGCTGCGCTCACCATGAAGTCATGGTGGCTGGCCTCACCATGCTCAGGGCACGCACGCCACTGAACAAAGGTCAGCACACACCTGTTTTGGACAGGAGGGTGGCAGAAGGAAGTTCTGACTAAACAACCGCTGCTTTTCCAACTTGATTTGAGCTTTTTCATTCCCCTCTTCTTCCTTCTCAGGTGTCCCAGTGTCCGTGCTCCTGGTGGGGCTTGGTGGAGGAGGCCTGCCTCAGTTCCTACGGGACTTTGTGCCTGATGTTACTGTTGAGGTTGTAGAATTAGACCCTGTTGTGATGGAAGTGGCGAAGGAATGGTTCGGTTTTCGACCAGATGATCGTTTGACTGTCACTCTTGGGGACGGCCTTGAACGCATTTGTGCCCTAGAGAAAGAAGGTTAGTGAAGGAGGAGTTAAAGAGATGGCAGTTAAGAGTAAAGTTGCACCAGTGAATATGACATTACAATACCAAGAAGTGACTGTGGTTGTTTTTCCTTCTGTAGGTGGTCGTTTGTTTGATGTCATCATGTTTGATGTAGACAATAAAGATAGTACTGTGGGTATGAGCTGTCCTCCTGCTGCCTTTGTGGAAACCTCGACCTTGCAGAAAGTTTGCAGCTTGCTAACCACCAGAGGTACAGTATTTTTTATTTCTCTTTATCTGCTAGAATCTGTGAAGTTTTCTGTGAAATAATGACAGTAAATGTGTCGGATACATATACAGATATGGATACCGATTATACTGCCCCAATTAAGATAAGAAATAGAACATAAAAATAATAAACGCCCTCTGGCAAATTACATTTCTATCATAGTTGTGTGTCTCATTTACATGAACGCCTCTCTCCTGTCTCTTCTATCTCTCCTTAAACAGGTGTATTTATACTGAATCTTGTGTGTCGTGACTCGGTCTTGAGGAAAAGCGTGTTGGAGCGTGTGAGCTCAGTGTTTCCCACCATCCTCTCTAGAAAGATCGAAGGGGAGGTCAACGAAGTCCTTCTGTGCTCTCGTGGAGAAGATGAGACACAGGACGCTGCTCGCATCCTTCCATCCCTGAACCAAGCTGCCAAGAGTCTGCAGAGCGCACTGTGCTCTAACAGGACTGGGGCCAACAGCAGCCCACATATAGACATTGCAGAGTTGTTAAAAGACCTGAAAGTAGAGTAAAGGGGGGGTAATCATGTCTTGAGACTAATTGGGACAATATGTTGAGGATACTAAAATTTGAGTGCCATTCAGTGCAATGTAATGAAAAGTATTATGATGTATAACATATACAATCACAAGTGAAGAACATTTTATCTTTACGTCTGAATGTGGTGCTTCTACAAACATGAATTCCAAATGCTGTATATTTGAATGTGCATTACTATTGCATCATTTCACCATTAAATGTAGCCTTCAGTTTCTCTTTCACTTGCTTCAGGTTTCCAGTGTACTACACAGTGCTCACTCCCTCATTGCCAAAGAATGCTGCAGCGTTATTTACAGTAGATGAATCTTACACTCTGGTTCTAGTTGCAGTGTTTATAGGGCTGCAGCAGAGCCCTACCCCTCACTGGATGAGTGGGATTTTAAATAGCTGTCGGCTAGAGGAGTGAATGCTTGCTTGGTGTCTGATAAGTCAGGGTACTTTCATAATTGGCTATGAAGTTTGTCTGTCTTCTGGATAAGGGGGTTGCCGAGTTAAAGTTGCTGTTCACTGCGCATGCGCACTAAAGTTGATTCCGTTAGCTGTCAGTAGAATGTTTTCCTCCTCTCTAATGGACCAAACTCAACGCAGCGACCAGCGGCTAGCTTCTTAAATGTATCCAGACTTAAAGGGAAGCAACACACTGTGAATTTATGGAGTTTTAAAACAACAAAATGTCTTTATCGGGCTGTTTTCGGAGACTTGAGGTCTGTGAGTACAAACTTGGACACTGTCGTTGTGCCCAGGAGCACTCACGGTAACGTTCCAACGGCTACTGAAGTTGCCTTAAAAAGTTGGCACCGTTCTTCAAGACGAGGATTCATTTTACGTTTTGTACACTTCAGTAATGAAAACAGCATACTTGTAAGTAACTTCTAATTATGGTAAGCACTCTATCGACGAGTGTAGCGTAGAACCGGAGTAAAACAGGATTTAAAGGAGCCGGACAGGTAGCCCCGCTGCTCCGTTGCGATGGGCAACCGCGGGATGGAGGATCTGATCCCGCTGGTCAACCGCCTACAAGACGCCCTGAGCAGCGTGGGACAGAGCTGCAGCCTCCACCTGCCGCAGATCGCTGTGGTGGGCGGCCAGAGCGCCGGAAAGAGCTCCGTCCTGGAAAACTTTGTGGGCAGGTAACGCATGTTCACTGTGAACTCTAGATGAACTGTAGAGCAGTGGGATTTATCTACTTTCACAACCCCCTTCAACTGTACACACTCTAGTGGATAAGATTTAGGTACCACTTTCCTATAGTGAATTTTATCCGGGGTTAATGAATGTTAGATATTGATTTATTAATATTAATGAATCATTTACCGATGTGTTAAAAGTCAAATATTAACGACATCTGGTTTTTTAAGTTGTGCATAATCCCTTTGACTGTTCTGGACCAAAATCCAGTAACAACAAATTTTACTTTAACTCTATTTTTATAACTACAGAATAGATAAAATATATTTTAATGTCCCCTTAGAAACAAAGAAAGAGTTTGTATTGAAGGATTACCAACAAACATCTGCTAATAGTATTTTTTTCAACCTGTCAAAAAGTTTCCATTAATGGCTTATAACTAATCTTTAAAGCTTTAAATGTTCGCAACCTTATTTGGGTGACCCCCAAATTGATACCATCAGGCTGTGAGCAGTAATTGATAAGACGTCTCAGGGAACCCAGTCTGATATGAGTGTGAAACCCATGAACAGAATAGACCGTCTTAAATTCTTTTATTGGGTAAATATCTAAATAATAGCAAAATTAATATTGTCAATTTTTCTGGGGACGCCCTGAAAACCCCTCAAGGACCCCTGGGGGTCCCCGCACCTCAGGTTGGGAACCACATAAAGTATTAATAAAATATTTACCTACCATTAACTTAATAAAGCCAATAGTTTACACTTATTAACCCATTCTTCATAAATTATACTCTATGTAAAGTATTCATAAACTATGTCTTTATACAGTCTATGATTAAAACATATAAAAAACATTTTCTTAATTAGTCACCCTAAATCACTGAATAACTTATTCATGACTAATTCTAATAAAACACTTTAAAATGCATGAATTTTTTATCAGTGTATCTATATTTTAATAAGTCAAGACTTATTATCATCAGCAACCAGAGGAGCCTGTTCAGTGAAAGGCTGCTCCTTCCCAAGTGTAGGACCAACAGACTCAAGAACTCGTTTGTCCCTCATGCCATCATACTCCCCTCACTCGGGGGGAGGAGGAAATAGGGTAAAGAGGACAGAAGCGAAGGAGTGGTAGCCACTCACTGTGCAATTAATAATCTACTCATACATACCTGGACACTCTTCTCTTCTTCTTCTTTTTTTTGTGCAATAACTTAATCCACCACTTAAGAGCAATAATTTAATTTAACTGCTAATTTCTGCTAATGTCATTTATCCACTGTATAATAACACAATGCCATATACAGTCCTATATATTTATCTTTATTTATCTATATTTATCCTCTATACAGTTCTCTACATTTATCTTATTTGATTTTATTTTCCGTGAATTTTATTTTACTTTTATTCTTATCTCTACTTTCTATATTTAGCTAAGAGTTTATTGTTTACTTTCTATATTTAGCTAAGCGTTTATTGTTTACTGTTTATTGTTTACTTTCTGTATTTAGCTAAGAGTTTATTGTTTATCTTATACTGTATTTTTTATACCTCTTTTATTTTTTTATTATTAGTGTTTTGTAAGCTGCTGGAAATCCAATTTCCTTGCAGGAGTCGTCCCAAAGGGATCAATAAAGAGAAGTCTAAGTCTAAGTCTAATCAAAATCCGACTTTGTAATATACTTCCCTTTGTTTGTAATGCTAAAAGTAAAGCCTAAAAGTAGTTTCTAAAAGTAAAGGCACGTTGGCAGCTGTGATTCGGGGTCTGGGACATGCACATACAAAAGGATCTGTGTTCTGCTGAATTTAGACCATGACTTCAGGCAACTACTGTTACCAATTAGAAAGCACTGTTGAAATCACTGTTCATATATCATGGTCTCCACCCAGCACTAGTGATATGGATTGCGGTGCTAGTCTGAAGTGTTGGATGCCGGAGGTGCCAGTGTCTGTGTGACAGTAGCCAGTACAGCACCTTATCTCAGTGAATGAAAGGGAGGTGAACAACATGACTCCTGAAGAGTACAGGACTCCACAATCTTTTAGTTAATCTAACAAGTCCCTCAGTCAACCAAAAGTGAGCTGAACAGAGCTTTGTTGAATTCACATCTTATTCTGACCTTCAACAGATTTCAAGAGCCTTAAAATACTGCAGGCCACTCATAAATAGCAGGGTTGTTTGTCTAAAGTTTAAATGCAAAATGCAGTGAGACAGTTCAGTTTGTGACAAGGAGGCTACGTACTTCCATCCTGTCAGAAAAGAATGCTGGTGAATAAGTCGTTTCCTAGATTCAAGACAGCAGAGCTCTGTTAACTGAAGGAGGCTTATGTATTGTCTGCAGCAGTATAGGCCATCCAGGTCACAATGTGTGTGGTAACTGTAGAAGGTTGTTAATGCTTGCTTTCCTGACTGTGTGTGGATATTTTATCTCACACCTCAGTTCTTTGTCTCAGCTATGACACAGCTATGTTACGCCATCCCTTTTGTGGGGCACTGGGCCAGATTTCTGATCTTGAGACAGGATGCAGTAAAACAAATTTCCTGAATCTGATTTTAAAAGGAAAGAGGAAGATTATTTTTGACCCTGTGTATAGTGTTTCTTGACATATATATCTGGTATGGCCAATAATAATACAAAGACTTTCTCAGCCTTCCTGATCAAGTTGTTAATATTTTGGATCGTATGGTACTTGAAATAAAGCTTGCTCACATTGCTTTAATAGGCATTATTAACAAGTTGGATATAGTTTTAATGTAAGGTCTTACCTGTGCGTTTACAACATGTAAATGTCATTTAAATGGTGTGTGTCAAGCCAATGATTGCATTGACATCAAATGTGTTGGCAGTTTGTTTGTTTGTTTGTTTGTTTGTTTGTGTGTGTGTGTGTGTGTGTGTGTGTGTGTGTGTGTGTGTGTGTGTGTGTGATCCTTCTCCAATTCAGTTTTTCTTCTCCATCAGAGACTTCCTTCCACGTGGTTCAGGAATTGTCACTCGTAGACCTTTAATCCTCCAGCTGCTTAGTGGTAACACGGGTAGGTAAGACACACTCATATTCACTCATCCAGTCTGTGCATTTTCATTCTTAAGCTTGTGTTTAGAGCCGCCACCAGATGGCAGTATGATATTTTACAGTGCCTGAGCCCGACTGGTGGGAGAGTGCACAAATTGTCATTGTATGGTCAGAATTGTTAGATTGCCTCCTGTATTTTTGGCCCTCTTGCTTCTGCTGCAGAGAAGAAAGGTGGTAGGCTATGTAGCATTTATATTATCAAAAAATAATCAATTAACAATCACAAATGGCTTTTAGACTTGCTGTAAGAGTACAATTAGAAATAAACTTGACTTAATTGAATAGCATTGATGTATCTTGCTGTAATAAGCCTTGTGGCCTGACTCATGGTAATAGCTAAAATTTTTATGAGCTGGATGGGCTTGATAGTCCAAATGTTCTCCAAAATTAGGATCACATGTTGAATGTATCATTGTTCAATTGTTTCCTTTTCTCTCCAGAGTACGGTGAATTTCTCCACTGTAAAGAAAAGAAGTTCACAGACTTTGATGAGCTACGCAAGGAGATTGAGACAGAGACATGCAGGCTCACAGGATCCAATAAAGGCATCTCTCCTGTCCCCATCAACCTGCGGATTTATTCACCACATGGTAACACAGTGTGTGTTCGTGTGTGCTCAACGTGCACGCAAAGTTTACTTCACTGATGTCCTTATTTGTACTCTTCTGCATGTGCATGCGTTTGTTTACAGTACTGAACCTGACCCTTGTGGACCTGCCTGGCATCACCAAGGTGCCTGTAGGCGACCAGCCAGCAGACATAGAGTACCAGATACGAGACATGATTATGCAGTACATCTGTAAGGAAAACTGTCTCATCCTGGCTGTCACGCCAGCCAACACTGACCTGGCAAACTCTGACGCACTCAAACTGGCTAAAGATGTTGATCCACAGGGTAAGCTGTGTGTGTGGTGGGCTTGTATAGTCTGTGGGGTTTCATTATGTCCTGACATTATGGCTATACACCCTGATGTCTTAATGCGGATTAATTATCACATTACAATGACCATAGAATTTCCTCTATTTTTTGTCTTTCTTTCAGGCCAGCGCACAATTGGTGTAATCACTAAACTGGACCTGATGGATGAAGGAACAGATGCTCGGGAAATACTAGAGAACAGGTTGCTTCCTCTACGCAGAGGTGTGCTGATGACTGCGTCTGTTTCCTGCAACCAAAGGCTCAGTCTCAGTCAAGCTCTCATTCCTTCTTTTATTTTCTTGTTCTTTCTGTCTTACGCTTCCTTCCTGTCTCCTTTATTCATGGTCTTTTTTCAGTATCTTTTTAGCCTGTGCCATGTGTTGAAAGATGGCCATGCACTTTATATGACATACCAGTCGTACTGCTGAGTGTGTGTGTGTGTGTGTGTGTGTGTGTGTGTGTGTGTGTGTGTGTGTGTGTGTGTGTGTGTGTGTGTGTGTGTGTGTGTGTGTGTGTGTGCACGCGCATTTGTTCTTGTGTGTATGTATGCGAGAGATAGACAGAAAGACAAAGATGATATTAATGGCTAGAAACAGTGTGTGTGTGTATGTGAGTAAGAGAGAGAGAGAGAGAGAGAGAGAGAGATAAAGGCAAGGCAAGGGAGCCCCTGTGACAGTGTACAGACTGTGTAAAGCACCACCAGGTGCTGGCTCCTTCATGCTTTTCCTTCAGTGCTAATGCATTAGCCATGGGAGCCCACTGAAATAACCGCCTTACTAGCGGCATAGAGCTGAAGCATTAGATATGGAGCCTGGTGCTATTACATCTATTATTGTACTAAATAGGGGATTTGGCCCGTTTTATACCACATGCTCTGCTGTTGCACAAACATATTGATTTCCTGCTTGTATGCTACAGTCTTAATGGAACTAATCTGGACAGACTTCCCAAGGACACGTCAGAAAATGCAAGTTTAATCTGTCTTACATCGGACGGAGTTCTTGATTGTTCCTTCCTCCTGTTTCTTGTTGCCTTACTTACAATGTTCACATGCTCTTCATTTCCCTTTTCATTTCTTCCTGCCCAGGTTACATAGGGGTGGTGAACCGCAGTCAGAAGGACATTGATGGGAAAAAGGATATTAAGGCAGCTCTGGTTGCAGAGCAGAAGTTCTTCATGTCCCATCCAGCCTACAAACATATGGCTGAAAAAATGGGCACCCCATATTTACAAAGAATGCTTAACCAGGTTAAAAATATACACACACACACACACACACACACACACACACACACACACACACACACACACACACACACACAGAGTAAGTGAATACATTGTGTGTATATATTGTTACTGATAATGTTTGTTTGCAGCAACTGACAAACCACATCCGGGACACTTTGCCTGCCTTCCGTAGTCATCTGCAGACCCAGCTTCTGGCCTTGAACAAAGAGGCTGAAGAGTACAAACAGTATAGTCCTGATGACCCTGCACGCAGGACCAAGACACTGCTACAGTCAGTCAGTCAATCATTCTCGATGTGTGCGTGTACCCATGTATTGTCTTTAGGTTATTTATATGTCAGTTTTTCTCCTGGTCTGTCCTCCAGGTTAGTCCAGCACTTGGCTGTCGACTTTGAGAAGCTAATCGAGGGTTCAGGTGACAAAGTAGACACCATTAGTCTGTCAGGAGGTGCTAAAATCAACCGCATTTTCCATGAACGCTTCCCCTATGAACTGGTCAAGGTTTGTGTGTGTGTGTTTCTCTGTATGATTTTAGTTTGTCTTTGTACATATATAGTGCTTGTCATACAGTAGCTCCATAAATAATGTATGCGCATAAGTAACTGTGATGCTAAACTGTAATGTTCCTCAGCCAAGTTCTCGACTGACCGACAACGTGCTGTGTTTGTCTTCAGATTGAGTCAGATGAGAGGAAGCTGCGGCGGGAGATCAACTATGCCATCAGAAACATCCATGGTGTCAGGTACCATGTGTTAGTGTACTGAGCAAATGTAAAGTGTCAAAGTTTTTGTTAGCTGCTGTCAATCTACTTTTTTTATTTTTTTTTTTACTTTCTACCATCTGCCTGTCTCTCCCTATAGGACAGGTCTGTTCACTCCTGACATGGCCTTTGAAGCCATAGTGAAGAAACAAATATCAAGGATAGAGGGGCCGTGTATGAAATTTGTTGATATGGTCAGTCAAGAACTAATCACCACTGTGCACCAGTGTATCAATAAGGTATGTATGTGTGTATGTCATATACTTTTGTGATATACTCTACATTTCAACATTGTCCTATATCTGACTTCTGGTCTGTTTTCTCTCTGTAGCTCAGTTCCTTTCCCAAACTGCAAGATGAGACACAGAGAATTGTAACCACTGAAATACAACAACAAGAGAGTAAATGCAGGGACCAGGTCATTCACACACTGTTGGACAATGCATTCATAAATTAGCTTTAGTTTTGTGTGAGGCCTGTTTCTATAATTAACGTGTGTCTGGTCTGTGCAGGTCATGATGCTAATTGACATACAGCTAGCCTACATTAATACAAAACATGAGGATTTCATCGGCTTCACTAAGTGAGTAAAAGGTTTGAACTATAAAATGGGTTTACTATAAAATTAACAATGCAGTCAGACAGGGTATATAACATGAGCTCTTCCTGTCTCTCAGTGCTCAGCAGGCATACAACCACAACAATAAGAAGATTGTAGCAGGGGTAGCAGGAAACCAGGTGAGACTTTCAGTACAACTGCATTTATTCATTCAGCTGTGTAGTAGATTGCCATTACACTGAGTAAAAACATTCATGATCCAAATGATTTATAAAGAACCTTCTTATCCAGAATCATGTTCATCAGTTTTAAGAAAAACAACAAGTATATATTTGTGCATGACAGTGATGATGATATATGCAGGTCTAAACACTCACAAATGACCCTTTGCTGCCAATGGTTCTGTGCAGTGCAATATTTGAATGCATGGTTATTAACTATTTTTTTCCCATTCATCTTACATTTTGTTTTTGTTTTTTATTTTCAGTGATGTCACTGTCCCATGTGTTCTGCATTAATCAGCATTAATCAGCATTCATAGCTGCAGATAAATGGGAGATTTTTGTGATTTTACTGATGAGTCATCCTCATAGAGTTTAGGGTTTAGAACTTTAGAGTTAATCTTGGCTTTTAATAGGAATGCAGTCAAACACAAATGTGTCATTTTTTGTTTTTGTCTCAGTCTATTATGATTAATATGTAACATAATATTTATCTGACACATTTGAAAGCTGCAGTAATTAAAAACACAATCCCAGTACGGTTGTATTTAGTCAGGAACATTGATGTATGATGATAATATTAGCTGAACAGCAGTACATTTCAACTACAGCTTAAATGTGGTTTTGATAGTAGCAACTATTTGAAAGTAGTAACTATAAATTATCAATATCAGTGTTGTTCCCTAAAACGTAATCTAAACCCCAAATATAATGAAAAAATGAACTCCACTCTTAATTTGACTCCTTTATCTCCTGTTTTTCTCCAGGGTGTGGTCCCTCTTTCAAGTCTAATAGTAGGAGACCAATCACTTTAAGCCTGCTCACTCACTACTGCCTCAACTGGAAATATTTCTGTGCAGGATTCAAGCTTAAGGGTTGTGGGTTGGCTTGCTACTGATGGCAGCAAAGATGTACACTGGCAAAATCGCTTGTTGTAGCTTTATTAATCATATTTTCATCTTCTACAAATGCAGATGTTAATATTTTCCTAGTCTACAGGATGTATATATCATTTCTTGGTTTCTGTATGCCATCTCATACTTCCTGTTCCCTTATTCATCACACATCTGTATTCCAGTCTCTTCCATCCTGTTTTTATCCCCAACTGTGTTTGGTTACTTTGCTTGTTTACCTATGCATCTAATCTCCTCTTTGACCGCTTATGCTCCACTAGCGGTCAGTGAAATGTTTGGTGATTGCCCTGTGGCTGCATAATCTATGTCACAAATGTAGATGCAAAATCTTGCCCTCCTATGTTAACTGTTTCTAAAATGTACTCTTATTTTCATCAGCAATGTCCACTCTCATTGTGTGGCCTCCTTTGCACACCTTCATAGTTATACCTTGCTATCTAATTTTCCATAAACCTGTCCTCTGAAAGCCATTGTAAATGCCCTGTCAGTCCTGCCATCTGACTCCTTACCCATGGCTGTTATGCAGGTTGTCCGCAAGGGCTGGCTGACCATCAGCAACATTGGCATCATGAAGGGTGGAGCCAAGGAATACTGGTTTATTCTCACTGCAGAGAGCCTGTCCTGGTTCAAGGATGATGAGGTGAGGCATTCACACTCACACTCACACTCATGACACAAATAGATCACACCAAGACATGCTGTAATTATGAGTGATATTGCAGGTTCTTAATAAATAAGAAAATGGTGAAGTCAAAACACAGCACTACACTTTAGTCATCACAAGTTTATTAACACATATCTCAGCTTGAAACAGCATGCTAATTGGGAAGTTGAAAGATAATTAAGTAGAAGGGAAATCTTTCGTCTGTTGATACTGTTGTCACCATTCCAGTAAAGCCCCTGCAGTTTTATTGAAGTAAGTGGAAGAGCTAGTGGCCCTCTGTTCTGATGTCAGTGGGGCTGCCATCTGTCTGCCTGTCTGTGCCTGCTGTACAGGAGCAGAAGGTCTGCACAGCAAGTGTAGACAGGCAGACACACCACAACAGTCTCATCCTGTCACAGTCAACGTCATGGGAAGAGGAAAGGGCAGAGTACAGGAAGTGATATCAGAAGAGGGGAACACATCACAGTATTTTATATGGAGAGAAACAGGCACCTATAAACATTCACATAAAAACACTGCTGTTGTGGGTTAAATTGAGTTATTGGTAGGAACATGTAGAATGCTTTTACAAATAAGTTATTGTTCTTGGTAACCTCCCTAAAATGGCTCGAAGGCCAGGTTGTGGCTAAAACTAAACAGACGGACCCTTTATGGACGCTTTGTGACATATGACACCATTAAATGCATAATAGAGAGCATCTTTAACCCTGTTTCTCTATCCAACAGTTTTCTTTGCTTTTCTCTCTTGCCACCTGGACCTGCAACTGAGCCCCTCCATTTCCCCCATTCATTCCTCTGACCGCCCCCCTTCCCATTCGTCCCGCTCTCCGCTCACTCTTCCCCTTACTCCCCCTTTTCTTCCTCTTCTGGGAGTTCAGGCATTTGGAGCGGCTCACTCTGACACAGCTGGAGCTGCCCCAAGCCAAACTAAGACACACACATACACACACATGCACGCACGCAAACACACACAGTGGGACAGACTTGTATATACAGTATACAGTACACATGCAGAATCTGATGTAAACAAACTGGCATGCAAATAGTGGAGAAAAATATACACTCAGACAGACACACAGCCACTTTTCAGATAAACACTGAATCGCTTGAACACAGTGTTCCCAGACACAGCCCCAGGCATGCATATTGTACACAGTGTTATAGGTTTACAAATCAAGTCACACATACACACAGACTTAGCACATCTGTAACAAATAATACTAAGACAGGCAAGCAAATATCTGTTGACCACATCAGAGCAATGACTTCTGGCTGTCTGGAGGATCACAGTGAGACACGTAGGTTTCACCACAAGGATTGAAGTGTATGGGAAAATCTTAACCTTTTCAATTCATTTTGGCCCGGTTGGACTAGTCATCGTTTGATCTTTGCACCTCCTCAATCTGTTGTATGGTTTATCAGCTGTGTTTGGAAGGCCTGAGTGCAATGTCAGTCACCCATATTATCACAAAAGATCAGATTTGCTGCCTTTCCTCATGCATCTGTGTGTGCACACACAGTCACACAAACCAAGCATCTGCTTCTTCTCTCTTGCAGTTCCCGCTCTCACTCTCCCCGCCCACACTACCTCCACAGACATTTCTTTTTTCTACTACTGCCCTGCCTTTTTTTTATTTTCTTTTTCTTTACCTCTGTTGCCTTTTCCCCCTCCTTTCCTCCCTCTCTCTGTCTGTCTCTCTCTCCCTCTCTCTGTCTCCCTCTGTTTCTCTCTCTCCCCCTTCGTGTGGTTGGCAGTCTCCCTGGGACTGTGCACATTCCTGGCTGGAAAATCTGAAGCTTTGTCCAAACACCAGCTTCCAAGATCTGCCCAGAGAAATCCCACATGGCCGTTTCTACACTGCAGACCTCCCGTTTTGACTCCCCCTCTCTCCTCTCAACTCCTCCATAGTCTTTCTCACAAATAATCCCCCCACCCCCCCAACACACACACACTACCCCCACCCATTCCAACCTCCCTTCTCCATCCCTGTGTCGATTGCCTCTCTACACTCCAATTTCTTAATGTCTTTAAGGCTGTACAGTACATCTCCTTTCTGTATACCACAACAGTTGTCCCTTCACACTGACCTCATACTGAGAGTGCAGCATAATAGTTCAGAGTTTAATCTCCACAGCACACTGAACAGACATACATTCCTTCACCCCTCTACTGCCAGGGCTCCACCAGGCAGCCTGAAGAAAAACAGATGGCTCATGCCTATACACTTAATCTACACACTCCCCTCTGTGTGTAGGTGTGTGTGCGAGAGGCCTGTTCCAAATCTCAAATCCATTAGTCTATAGGAAGAGGAGACACAGCTTCAGACGCAGCAGCTCTGATGTATGATACTTCACGACCACCCTGACACCACTGGGAATATAACACACACACACACACACATACACAAAACAGTGCCATGATGTCTGTGAACACAAGAGTTATCACATTACCACACAGATTCACATCCTGAAGCTCAAAATACCCAATTGGACACACTGAAAAAATGTTTGTTTAGAGCTACATTAAAGGTGCGTAAAAGAAGCTTTTATGGCTTAAATATTATTAAAACAACAGACAGTCTCAAGTTATAGCTTCTTCTTCTTGAATGTGCTGAATGTAAACTTCCTTGAACAAATGTATCACTTGCCTTAAATGTATGTATCACTCGCCATTAACTAAGACAATTTTTTCAAGGTGGCAAATTCTACAAAATGGTTGTCATTATACTTAATAAAGAGCCAATGACATTTGAATGCATTTTGAATAGTTGTAAGCTAGCAATATTGTATGCACATTTAAAGGAATTAGCACCCATTCAAGCAAGAAACATCAGAGAATATTAGACCCCAGATTTGCTTCAGCATAGAGTACATGCAGGTTGTCCTGAGTCTTGCTGCTGAAGCACTTCCTTGCACAGTCTAACCAATGTGCAGACTACTGTACACCAGTAAGATCCTGAACAGGTAGTCTGAACACTGGGATGACGGAGCAGGACCCTTCCTCAGTTTCTCTTTGGCCTCGCCTTTTCCCACTCTGGTTGTTAGCTAGCAGTCCAGCCTGCGGCGGAGGGGAGTCGGCAAAATGTTCCTTCTGTTATTCTCTACTTTCTTATCCTCTCTTGGTGTTGGGTCGCAAGGTGAGGGGTCTCGCAGACAGCGGACATCCACTCCTATGGGTGTCCCTCCTCTGGAGATGATAGCGTATCTCGAATCGGGTGTCCGCAGGGCTGTGTCCCAGCGTAGTATCCAGTCTTGACGTGGCACATTCGCTCATTCAGCTAGGGATCTGCCTGTTCACTCGGGGAAGGCATAAGGAAATTTGGGGAGTGAGAGAAGGAGAGAGAGTTAGGGAGGAACTTAGCAGCCATATATGGGTTGATGGGACCCATGGGAAATCAACTTTGGAGTGGTCTGCAGTTTCTCCCCACTTCTCCTGCACAATCTTTCCTGCTCTCTATGTTCCTCACTCTTCCTCTTCTACTCTTAGCAAAGTCCACCTCCCTCTATCTATCTCTATCCCTCCTCTTCCTCTCTTCCTCATCTCTACTTTCTATTTCTACCCCATCAGAGCACCCTATACTCTCTCCAGTCTCCTCCCCCTCTGTCTAAAGCGATCCCAGATGTTGCCCTATGAGCGCCAATCCCGTTCTGTCATTTTTTTCAGCCTCTGTTACAGGAAGTGGGCCCCTTTGGAAAAAAGGAAAGAGGAACGAAGGAAGAGAGTCGTAGGGTTCAGGGGAGCACTGAGAGAGGGAAGACCAAAATGTACTACCAGCGTACTCACATCTCAAACCACATGTGTGCACGTGCTCAAATGCAGGCGGCGCACACATGCATCCATACACACAGACAACATGCAGGATTATTAAGACACCGTCTTTTCCAGACATGCTTTAGTTCTCTTATCTATGGAAGTGTCTTTGCGTCATCCATGACTGTTCCTATTACCAACATTTCTGGAAGCCCCCTTCTTAAAGGTTAGAAAGAGGGAGCAGGCCAGTGAAGAGAGATGAGGGGGAAGGGCTTTACTTTAGGAGAAATGTTGTGTTAGAGCTTGAGTCTGAGTAATGACTTTCACATGTGAGCCCGGCCTCTCTCCCTCTTTTTTTTTCATACTCCTTCTTTCATTCCCTCCCTCCTTGCTTCAGTTCTCTTTACCCTGCCTCCATACTGTCTGGTTCTCCTCACCCTGGCTGCTCCACTCCTCCAACTGTTCTCTGTCATTCATAAGTCCCCGTAGTGATGACAGACTATAGACGTATGGCATCTCTTTCCCCTTCTCTCTCTCTTCCACTGTCCCTCTTTCGCTAGTTAGGGGATAGTTAATATGAGTCAGTCTGACAGGCAGACGCATCATCTGATATGAACTCAGATGCTCTGCTAGCACTATGTTCCACATCTCCTGTTCGCCTCGCCGTCTGACATTTTTCTAGCTACAATTCAAGTCTCTTGGCCCTTCTTTCTTCTCTAGGGGCAGGCTGAAAAGAAGAATATTTACTACCAGACATAAAACTATTTTAGCTAAAGCCCTCAAGTGAACTGTCTTTAGTCTGTGTTGTTTTTTGCCATCAACACCTGTGTTACCTCTCTGTGATGTCATATTTTACTCTGCATACCTCTGTCAAACTTTATCTCTCCGTATTCTATCTTTTCCAGGAGAAGGAGAAGAAGTACATGCTTCCTCTGGACAACTTAAAGCTCAGAGATGTGGAGAAGGGGTTCATGTCCAGCAAATTTGTCTTTGCTATCTTCAACACAGAGTTAAGGTTTGTGTGTGTGTGTGTGTGTGTGTGTGTGTGTGTGTGTGTGTGTGTGTGTGTGGCTGGAGGCCTGTGTTTGTGTACGTGCGTGAGTCAGAGAAGGGAGTTTTGTTCTTGTCACCTGCTTGCTGAAGTTTCAGTGATATTTTACAAGGGTGGACATGTCAGAGGAGGAAAAAGGAGGAGATGTTCTAGTGGTCTTTTGCCCTTTCTATGACCTCTTCTATTCAACTATGCCACCGGAACTGAAAGGACATCCAGTGGGTGCTGCAGTGGGTGTAGTTTTTTTGCCTCCAAGTATATGCCAGGCTCATGAGAATAGGGTTGGGTTTGGGTTTGCTGGGTTTATGTGTGTGAAACAGATTGAGAAAGACAGAGAGACAAAGACAGAGCATAAGAGAAAGAGAGAGAGAGAGAGAGAGAGAGAGAGAGAGAGTGAGTGAGAGTGTGTTTAGGAGCTGGAGCTGACCCAAAGCCTGGCTGATTGTACCAGAGCATGTGGGCTTTGTTTATAATTCTGTGCTATGCTGCATTCAGACACACAAACTGAATTTGTGTGTGTGTGTGTGTGTGTGTGTGTGTGCGTATGTATGTGTGCTTTTGCCAGTGTGTGTGTGTATAGACCACAGCATACCGACGGCAGGCTCATTAAGCAGCTAATCAAAGCCAGAGAGCTTGGATCAGAGATGAGGCTGCTCTTGTTTGGAAAGAATTGCTCGACTCACCACAAAAAGGAGGGAGAAAGAAGAATTGGAAGGGTTGAGAGGAGAAAGAAAGCAGGAGAGAGAGAGTATCAGAGCCATCGGCCAGGAATGTGTCAAAGTCTGTCCTATGGCGCCCCCCCCCTTTCCTGCGCCCTCACTCTCTCTGTTTCTCTTTCTGTATTTGCGTGTGTGTGTGTCTGAGTGTGTGTGGCAGACATTGCAGTGGTTTTGTCCCTGTCTGACAGTAATCAAAACCCTCAGGAAACTCTTCAAATCTAAAGCAGTCAAGGCTCTGTGCAGAAATTCCTCAAGATGAGTGAAAAAACTCACACTGGCCACGAGCTGAGGAGAGGATAGCAAAGTGAACGAGGAAAAAAAAAACAGTTGATGTGAGTGATAAATCAGCGTAGAGAACGATTTTAATGTGCGTTCGCTGGTGTATATGAATGTTAGTGTCCTGATCCTAGTGTAATAGCACTCTAGTATTGTCATTGTTGGCCTGGCTCCCTGTCTGTTAGCCACCACACCCTGACTTATTAGCCTCACCCATCCTAGCCAAGCCATAAGCTGACAGCCTATTTCTTGATCTTTCTGTACAGCTCTCTGTTACTGCAAGCTATCCCCTCTTTCTCTTTCCATTTCTGTTGTCTCTCTCATTCTCACACGCACAAAGGTTTCACATGTTTGAGGTTAATTGCTATGTGTTCTGAATGTGAGAAGGGAACAACAAAAGGAGGAAAGAAACAACTGAGTGATTAAGGAAAAATGTTTAACAGATGGGCCACAGCTTGCTCCAGATCCTTTGCTTGTTTCTTATTTTGCTGTGCTGCCTCCACAGCCAAAGCACAGAGATGGTATGATGGTGTGAAGAGAGAAGTGATAGGAACGATGGAAAGGAAAGAGAAGCCAGGGAGTGAATAACATGGAGAAAATAGATGATGGAGATAAAGGGATAAGTTGCAGTTTGGGAGGTCATGTCAAGCACAGCAGTTGGGGAGATATTAATGTAACAGTTTTATTTTGTGTGTCAGCAGGTATTTGTATGTGTATACACACTAAGAAATCAAGGTGCAGGAATGGACCTAAAAGAGTACAAATGCTTTGCACAAGCACTGTACCTTTGAACATGGTACATTTTTATACCTTTTTTTCTGTACCTCTAAAAGAACATTTCTGTACCCCTGGTGACAAAAATGTACCTTTATGTCCTGGCACAGAAAGGAGGACAAAATGAGGTACAGCTCGAGCAACATGCTATTGTGTACCTTTATGTGGCAAAAACATACCCTTAAATTCAGAGACAAACATTTTATTTATTGATTTTTTATTTATTTTTTTAAACCAAATTATTCAGCAAAGGTTCACTGATCACATTTGCAATGTTACACATTCATACCTGGAAGCTGTCCAGTACAACCACATCGATTGGGGTTACGGGCCTTGCTCGAGGGCACCTCAGTGGTGGTGTTGACCGAGGGAAGTGCTGCTTCTTCACTTTTCCCACTCAGATTTATCCTGCCAGTTAGGCGGATTTAACCTACGACCTTCTGGTCACAAGCTCGCTTCTCTGACCTTTAAGCCAACACTGCACATTTATGATTATTCACCAAAATGTATTTAAAGAAATAATTAGTTTACATCTTTTAACATTTTTCAGCACCTTTTCATTGTATTTTTCAGCTAGAACTGATTGTCCATAACAAGTGAATGCTGTAACAGCCTAAACCACGTTTCAAACTCTGTGAGCTACGCAGGGGAGGGCCAAGGCATAAAGTTAAATGAATACAGAAAAACTAGTCTCCATGGAGGAATACAAAAAATTAGAAAATAGTTCGACAATAAAACAGTGATAATACTTAAATAAAATAAAATTGGGAGTAATGGTAATGGCTAGTGGAAGCATTTAATTTCATTAACCTTTACAGAAATTATACCCTTATTTCTCTATGTGTGTTTGTCTAGTTACAAGTGCTTGTGTGCTTTACTTTATCAATGAATCATTGTCGGTTTACATTCTGTTGAATTGTATACACAATATATTTTTAAAGGATCGTACCAAGTTTGGGGAAGACAGGCCCACCTGTATTCAAACTGTGGTTCCCAACATGGGGACAACTCTAGTGGGGCCCTTTTACACAAAACCCAATGACTTGTGTTACCTCTGTACTAAGACATTTACATAAGATGCAGAAATGGGACACAGTCAGTGCATCACTTAAATAGGTGGCCATTACTATAAATTAGACCAGGATGGGACAATTGTAAGAGAGAGAGAGATTTTTTGTTTTGTTTTAGTCTTCCTTCCCCCACAAAGTTAAAAAGAGTTGTGTAGCCTCCATTGTTAAATTACACACAAGCTCACCAACATAAGAGACATGTTTATTTAACATTATATATTATATTTTATTTTATATTTGTATATTTCTCTATAGTGCAAACCAAATAATGAAACATGAAAGCTCTGACAAATATTAATTTGTGCTGCATTTACAATGTAGAATAGAAAGGTTCACACTTATTACGTAGTAGTAGTATTTTACTACACACAAAATATTATGCTTTACAAACTTTATAAACCAAATCTTGCCATTGAGCCAATTTCAAGATGTAGGAGAGACACATTAATTTTTTAAGTACAATATTCTCCCTCATCAGTACTTGTGTGCAGGAGCTCAGGTGATAAGTATGGACGATAGAGTACTACAGCTTATGGTATTGTCTATTTAACTGAATGCTTTAATGTTGCACAAGAAGGAAACCTTGTTCCAATAACATTTGGCTTGTGTACAAAGTTGGTCAAGAGCTGAGTGAAGAAGGGGTATTAAGAAATTAGAACACAAACACAGAAATTGTGATCTGGTTGCTTTTTTCACTCCTCTTTAAAGTGCACTACACACGATCGGCATAATCTCAAAAGTAACTGTCAAGATAAGTCATAATTGCGGCTGAGTCTGACAAAGTTTAGCCGGGGACACTTTTTTTAGTACTACTAAGTCTTCTCTTTCCACAAGATGTGGAGCAAGACTTGTTTTGTTTCCACTGGAAGTGAAATGGTAAGAAAGGAGACAGCGAATAGCTAAAAATGACTGACATAATTGCTCAGCTGAAATTATCCCACGCATTGTGACTAAAACTCTGGCTACATCACTTACACTGAGTTCATAAGAAAAACCAATAATGACATGTAATTACTAAAAGGTCAGGGTACCTATTTTGGATAATGCTTGTCAGCACTGTCCATGTTAGTGTGTATGATTTTGATATGTACTGTATTTTCTAATGTCATAAGTAAGGTTACCAACATGGTGTATTTGTTTTACGGTATGTGAGATTATGAGTTCATTACTCTGTATTGTGGAAAGAGTGTTATTACTGGCTAGGAAGCGTAGTTTTTGAGATGTCTGACAATATTGCACTGCATTTGCAGGAACGTGTATAAGGACTACAAATGCCTGGAGTTGGCCTGTAACTCTCAGGAAGAGCTGGACAGCTGGAAGGCGTCTTTTCTACAGGCTGGAGTCTACCCTGAAAAAGTCACTGTTAGTACTCTGACCCCTAATTCAACCTAATGAAACCCAGTCCTGACCCGAGCTGTGGGGAGCTGCACCTGTCTGCACGTTACCTTTGTGTTGCATGCACTCATAGCATTTGCTAACCTCAAACCCTGGCCGTAACCCCTTACCCCTCTCTCCATGTTCCCCTTTATTCTCCCCTGGCCAAAAACAAAAAGCGAGTCCCCCACCCCTTCCATCTCGCTCTGTCGTTGGCTCTTCAGCACAGCATTCTTGGCCCATGATGTCACTCCAATATGTGTGTATGTGTGTGTGTTCTAGTCTGTTTCTAATCAGCAGTTCCTCGTCCCTCACCCACTCCCCCTTTTCTTTCTTCTGCCCACTCCTCCTTACCTCCCTCTCTTGTGTTCCCTCTATTCTGCTCTCCCTGTTCCTATTGCAATGGCTCTATACTTCTTCTAGTCACAAGCATAGAATAGATGACAAGATATGACAATGCACACAAGGCTGATCTTTATTGCTTTGCACATCTGTACTGAAATGACCAGCTGTGTTATCTCAGAAGTCACTGCAGCATGATATATCCTTAGGGACAATCTGAACATTTGTTATTTCTCCCAACTCCATCTTCTCTATCTGTCACCCGGGTGGATGGGCAGGGAAATGGATCTCCTGATAACTTCACAGACCCCCAGCTGGAGCGTCAGGTGGAAACCATTCGAAACCTGGTTGACTCCTACATGAACATCATCTATAAGACCATCAAGGACCTAATGCCAAAGACCATTATGCACCTCATGATTAACAGCGTAAGCTATCCAGACCAGACTCTAAACTTTTTAAATCATTTTCCCTTTCTTCCAGCCAAACGCTCACTCCCAGCCCAGCAAAATCTGCATTCCCTGTCCTGCTATACAAGTGTAGCATTTGAAACACTATTTGAGCATATTTGAAACTTGAAAAATAAATGAGAGACTATAGAAGAAAAAAAAATTCACTACCCCTTTAGGAATTTAGAGTCATAATCCCAAGTCAGAGCATAATATCACTTTATAAACTCTAACATTTTGACTTGTCACAGCTGTTTATAACCCCTCTCTGTAGGTGAAGGAGTTCATTAGCTCTGAGCTCCTGGCCCAGCTCTATGCTCTGGGAGAATGCTCAGCACTGATGGATGAGTCACCGGAGCAGAAGCGCCACCGGGAAGAAGTGCTCTGCAAACATGCTGCCCTGAAGGAGGCGCTCTCTGTCATCGGAAAGATCTCCACCTCCACCTGCACCACCCCTATGCCTCCACCTGTAGACTCTTCCTGGATACAGCCCTCCAGGTACACACAGTCAGTGATGCTTAGATGTGTGCAGTAGTGGGCTACCTATGCTTGTCACTTAATGTCCTTTTCTCCACCCAGCTTGACACTCCCTAATAACTCAGTGACCAGTGGCAAGACAGTGGTTCGTGGCCATGCCCCATCAGTTCCCCGGCCACCCGCTCACACCGGACCCACTGCTTTCCAGAGCACTGATGGCCTTCAGCAGCGAGCTGGCCAACCTCACCGCGCTCCACCAAGTGTGCCAAGGTGACTCCAAAACCACACAATTACAGCCTGAAGTCTGACCTGTTATATTATAATGACCTCCAGTCAGTCACTCAAACATTTACTGGCATATATGCATACACACGCTCGCATACACACAATCAAACCCTGCGCTACAGAGGCACTGGGGCAGAGGGAATTGTTATTTGAGCTGGGTGGGGGTCTGCTGGAAAATGTGTTTCTCATATTCTCTTTCCCATCAGCCTCAATAGAGAGGACTTCTCTCTGTGCAGCTTTCTACTGGAGCCAGAGACAACAGGCTGAGCACTCTGTCAAGTTTTCATCCTTCTCTCTGTCCTTCATCCCCCCTTTTCCCGCTTTCTCCTAGCATGCATTTGTTTTATAGCCTTCCCCAGTTTCCCTCATGCAATAACTGTTCTTTTTCCTTTTCCCCCCTACTTCTTTTTTCTAGTAGATTTCTTCACTTCTCCTCTTTCACTGGTTCCTCCCCTGCTTTTGGCCTGTCTCTCCTTTTTCTCTCTGCCTCATTTCCTCTGTGCTCTCCAATGGTTCTTTAGGTTCTTTCCCGCATACAGTCTCCCTCTCTCCTCTATTGACTCTTTCCATCCAACCTTATGCCTCTTTTCCTTACTCAATCTCTCTCTCTCCTATAGATATACATGGGGCATGAAGGTACTTCGATAAGTCTGTTTCCCCCCCCCCATATTTATTCTTATCATTGTAAAGTCTATTGACACTAAAGACCATGAACTGTGTAACAATCAAAATGTGTGGCTTTGTGGCGAATGAAAAAATCTTGCCAAATAAAGACACAAAAAATACACCAAATCACCAAAATTTGGATTAGTTCCTCGATAAATTGCTCATCTCTCCAATATCTCATGTTCCTCTAACCAACTGATGTTGTAACCTATGCTGTAGTAATCTCTAATAACCATTATTAGCTCACCCTTATTCAGCAATTTCTCTCTCTCTTCTTCTTTCAAACGTGGCCAAACCCATATAATTCTCCTTATAATAGCTTTTGCAAGTTTTCACAGCTTTCATGGCAAGCCTCTAATCCAGGGGTCAACGATTTGGTTATGTAATGGGCCAGTTTTTGTTTTTCAAAATTGTTAACTGAAGGGCCAAAACAATTTTATAGCTGCAATGGAGACATAGACCCAAATATTTTACTACAATCAATACTATAATCACTTTGTTAGGTCTGCCTTGTTATATGATATTGAACCTTATAGATATATCTTTGATCTGATCTGATCTCCAGGAGGTATCCCCCAGCCATCCCAAATGTGAAATAATAGTCCTTTCTGCTCAGAACTCCATTACCCATCGACCCCAGTGATCCTTCCAGCTGCAGCTGACTGCTACCCAGAGACACCCAGTGACCTGTATGATGTGTAATCCAGCTGAAGCACTACACTGGGCTTCTCTCTGTCTCTTCTGGGAGCTGCTGTCTGCTAAATTCACCGAGTCTTGAGCCTGTTTTGTACATAATATCATTGGCCATAAAGGCTGGAATGTGCTCGACTGTCTCCTGACTTTTCTGAAGTGCCTGAACTTTGTGTAAATAAAATACCAATTGTGATCTATTATACTAAAAGAGAATACACATGCACTACTTTTACTGTTTTTGAATAAACAGGTGTTTTATTTTTGAACATGTGTCTTGATATCTCATTATTTAAAGGTTTGCGCAAATTGATGACTGGGTTTATCATTTTTTTAAACTTATTTTTCTTTTCCATAGCATTCCTACTTTCAAAGCCCAAGTAAACTTTCACTCACTGTAGTAGCCAATAACAGTGGTGTATATCAGCGGTTTGCTAACTAAGAGTCAAGGACGTATAAGGGACCATGTGGGTGTTGGAGGGGTCCCCAGAAAACTGACTAGAATTTAGCAGAATAAAGTTTAAGATGGATTGTTATCAGATGTCTCCTCCAATTGACCTTTTTCACAGCAGCCATTTTGACATGAAATAGTGGGGTAAACACAGGTGATGATAGTAATTAAGGCTCTGTTCCATTTAGTGTAGCAGAGCCTTTCCAGTGAGCCAACATGCACACCAGCAGCACCCTGACTGACTCTAATGGAAGAGAACCTAAATTAGGAACATCAAATGTAAAAATGGCTGCTGTGAAAAAGGAATTTCTAAAAGTTATTATTTTTAAAACACCTTATATATGAAGGTTTAATGGGCTCCCCGACATATACATATTTTGGGACCCATGTTGTGTGCCTTATCAGTATGGGTTATATCTCCAGTGTAAATAAACATCTGATTGGACAGAAGAATTTGTCATCAGAAGTCATTTGCACCCGTACAGTGGGTGACGCGCTGTTATTACGACGCACTCTCCGTGTGTGTGAGTGTGAGTGTGATTCTTTGAGGAGGAAGAGGAGGAGGAGGGAGGCCGCCCGGTTACAGACAGCTCGACTGAACTCTGTGTTATAGTCGGGCTTCATCTGCTGCTAAATGGCGCCACCACAGCAGTCAAAACCCAAGGCAAAGCCCACCGTCACATTTCGTACCAAGCCAGGAAAAGGAGAGGTGAAGGTATGACCCCTAGCGTCCACTCCACACTGCTTTCAGGTGCAGCTGCACTCATGCTTTCTGGTATCGTGTTCATGAATTTCCTTGGAAAACTGGTCTCACAATGAGTCCCAAAACAAAGTACAAGTAGTGGTGTGTTTTCATTTAGTTCAAGTGAAAGCCAGAATGAAGACAGGATAACGTGCCCGACACGTTATGTTAGCAGGTCTTTAATATATTGAAACAAAAACAAACATGAAAATGAACATAAACATAAGCTACAACAATTCTAGCCTTCCTCACGCTGAACGCTGAACAGACGGTAGAGTGAGCGGCTCTGACTTTAAACCCAGTGTCCATTTTAAATCAACTGTACATGTGGCCGGGCAGTACACGGCTGCTGTGTTGGGGTTGAGGGTTTTTTTTTTTTAAGCGCCATGTAAATCACAGCAGGTGTTTTTAATCAACTCAGCCCGCCAACGTGACGTCACTGACTGGGTGTGGCAGGGAATGCAACATGGTGGACGGAGTTTACCCTTTTCTATGAAAAAGTGGAGTTTGGCTTTCTTTACTGACTTTTACCGAAAAAACTCGACACTGTCATCAATACTTGCAAAATCACATTCAGAAACCACATTTTTTATATTTTTAAAAATAGTCATACAATCAAACAATACATCACATTCCTCCTCTATTCTAAAAAAAAGAAAGCTATATTGAAAATGTATGTTAACTATTTGTTTTATGTCTGTCCCCTGGCATTATATGGTCATGTACTGTCTGTGTTTACTATGCTGTTGGTTAATAAAATGTATTTATTTTTAAAATATGGTGGACAGTCCTGTGAGAACTGTAGCACTGCAGCAGCTGTCTGCCCTGTATGATCAACGGGAGCTTGTTATACTGGACTTCTCCAATGTTTACATGTGTAATATTTCATTATTAGAAAAGAGCAGTCATTCAAATAAAAGCTCTTTTATGTCATTACTGACAAGCAAACTGTCCATCCATACAAAACACAACTTGAAAACTAAGTAGTCTGTCAAAATGTTGTTTCTCAAAAATATAAAAATAAAAAAAGCATTATTTACTTTGAGGACACATTTTTATTGCAAAACCCTTTAAAATTTTTGTACTTCTAATGTTTAATTTTGACATAGTTTGCAAGCCACTGTGTAGCTCTATGAATCTGTCCATTCATACTCAACATCAACAACATACTGAACACAACCATAAACATCTCCCACAAATGTAAAGTCAGCATTGCATATTAGTTGATACCTTCCATACGAATTCTGAGGTCAACACTTAGCAGCTTGAACAGTAAAAACATCTTCATATTCTCTGCAAGAGGATAACAAGGTTTCATGGCTGTCCAAACAGATGTGGACCAATGATAAAAGAGTTAACATTTGTCAGTTTAGTACAGCACCAACATAATACTGCAAACTGACAATTAATTCATATAAAAGTCTCAGTTGGCTCACACCTCAAATGTAACTTTTGTCAGGAGCTCCATGTGCTCCTCTTTACTCTGTCCGTTATTGAAGGAAGTGACTGAGGTCCTCATGAATCTCAGCTTCATCCCAGGGTCCATGGATGTTGTCCTTGTGCCTCTGCAGCCTGACTAACAGCAGGGGGCAGAGCAATGTAACACACCCTAAGGCCAGGGCTAAGAGCACAGCTCCCCCTGGTGACTGTGTCCACAGGCCACCTACCCCTCCGATACACACTCCCACACACAACCCAGTAAACTGGTTAGGGGTGTTCTCCCTCAGCCTCTGCAGCAGGCAGGGCCACAGGGCAAACACCAGCAGGGCACAGCTGAGCATGGCGAAGGTGTGAAGAGCCCCAGGTAACCTTGAGGCTAGACACACTGAGGCAAACAGGGCTGCATTTATGGAGAGGCTGCCTGGGGGTGAGGGGTGGGCGTAAGGGAATGAGACTAGGTGGGCCAGCAGCATCACAGCAGACATGGCGTACACCGTGTCAGTACTCACAGACTCTGTTAGTGTCTTTAGAACAGGCGAGAAACCAAAGGTGAAGGATAGAAAAATAGTGGCACTCTGTAAGTCAGCGAGACGAGTCCGGAGCTCACAGCCGGATTCGACTTGAGACGTCAAGGCTTGGTGCAGTCCATATCCCAGCAGGGCGCAGACAAGGCTGGTCCACAACAGCTTCTCAGGGGACAGCAGACCCTGCGAGGAAAGCAGAGGAGTGGATTAACTGTGCATTTAATGTACACCATTCTATACAGTAAAGGCACAGTGTGCAGTGTAGTGATTTACCTGCTCCATGTAGAGCCAGAGGGTGATAAAAATGGCAACACAGGACAGCTGTTGTCCCACAAAGCCTGCTTCTCTCACCACAGCCCAGTAGCGGTACTGCCGGATGCCCTCATTCCTCCTTAATTCCTCCAGGAACCGCTGATCCACATAGTTATCAGGGAAGGGCTGGCGCTCCCACAGCACCTTCCGCCAGGGCACAGCTGGACCTGGGACACTGTCTGGCCCCATCACCCTTACCACACACACACACACACACACACACACAGAAGAAGAAAACATGGTCACATTTGTGAGCAAGAATTGAATCTACTGCTCAAAGAAGCAAATCTAACATTTACTATTACTTTACCAAACCGGTAGCTTTATAAACAGGCCTAGACTAACAAGTAGGCAACTTTGCTGGGTCCCCAGACCCCCAAAAGTTCTATGCTTACTCAGAGTAAACTAACTTGTGCTAATTTATTTATATGAAATGTCTAGCACTGTAACAAAACATCAACTGTAGGGCAATGCTTGAAATGTTCTGTCGGACAATAAAAATAGTTCCTGGGGAAAAAAGGATACAGTGATTGGGACAATTCTGGGACAGTAGAGAAATGTATTATTGCAAATGAAATGTTAATGCATGTACGGTAGTATATATCACTATAATTGAAGCAATGTCATAGACAAAATCAATCCGAGAGAGAGAGCAGTGTTGCTAACTTGGTGACTTACTTACTAGATTCAGTGACTTTTTCTGAAAAGGCTACTAGTGTCAAATTTAGCGACTTTTTCAGACTATCAGGGAAAAGGTCAGAAATATATTCAAATATAATGTATTGTAATTCATTCCCATGTATGTTGATCAGAGTAATCACAGTCCACGGCTCTTCTGCCAACAGCCCCTAGGGTCACTCCTTCTCTTCTTGGGCTGTGCTAGGTGTGGGACTACTTTCTCTTTCTCTTTCTCTCTCCGGATATCTGGATTAGGATTTTTCTATAGTTTGTAAATATGTATGTAGTTCATTTGACCTTCACTCTCACTCTTTTTCTCTGGATATCTGGATTAAGATGTGTCTATAGTTTATATGTAAATTGTTGGTTTGAGCTTGTAAATATTTAAATAGTTAATTTGATCTTCTCCCTCCCTTTGTAGATGTTAAAAATAACAGTTTTTACTTCAAATATACAATGTCCCTGTAGTGAACTTGTGATTATTTGGCTAAATGATGTAGTATGTACATTTAAACAGGGTAGAACTGGCAGAACCTAATGGCAGACCAGAGTGAATCAATTAAGTGATAAGAGCTACATAAATAAACTAGTTATAAACCAGTACATTCATTATGTAGATTGAAAAATAACTTGGACAGTTGAAAGTATAATTCAGGGCAGTAAATGTCGAGTCCTGCTGTAAGGTGTGTGCTGTATGCTCTACTGTCACTACCTTCTATATTGTAATTTACCTGTTCCCAAATGTAACCAAAGTAACAAACATCAAACCTGGGAATAAATGGTAACATCATTCACATAAAGCAGAGTAGGAATAACCACAGAACGGTTAATTTAAAAGCTATTTTATCAAAGGTTTGCCACTAACTATTGAGTGATGATGGACTCTGAATACAGATACAGATACTTTGGATAGCTTGGAAGCTAATGGGCTATCTGTCATGTAATGGATGACAGGTGCAGCTAGCATGAAACTACTGGTCCTTCCGGCTTTGACACGACAATAAAATCAGACAAGTCATATGTACACGTTTATCTATGAACATAAACGTGTTGACAAGGTGTTAAATAATCTCCACAAATATCTACAGAGCTTTTTCCACCTACCTGTGACGGGATTTTGTTCAGCGGCGATGCTACAATCTCATCTTGTCATTATCCCGGAAGTGAAGCACTATGACAGCAGAGCTCACAGCGCCCCCTGTTGTTGGAGTCTTTAAAAAGCACCTTACCAAGTGCCTATCAACCATAACTGTAACATTCATACTAATAACTTCATCATTTTATTTTTTTCCTCGTCCAGATGTCTGTGTTGAACATACGTGGCCCGTTCTCTACTGAACTGATAAGACCGGCCAACGCACAGAGCAACACGCCTGCAAAAAGGTCACCTAACTTTTACAACTTCAATTATTCTCATGATGCCGAAGGTGTGTCACCTTTGGGAACATGTTGATTGTGATATTCATCAATAACCTCATCTGTATTTTGTCAAATAATAGCGTCCCAGTGCCTAGACCACAGCCCTCTGTCTGCTATGTGACAACGCAGGCAGCTGGTAAGCCTGTCAGCTCCGGCACCCTGTCCAAGGGGCCACAAACACCAGCCATCGTGGTAAATTTCGCCAGCACAAAGAAATCTTGTTTGGAAATGTATTTGAAATCCTACATCAGCTGTTCATGAGAGAGATTTACACAACCACACAATTTCAAGTGCCTCAATCTCTTTACCAATCCACATACAGTGGTTGCCTTTTTTGTTAGCTTGTGCTTAGCCATCTCTTACATATAGCCTATTTTTGACTGTGGTTGCAGATAGGATCATGTCTTCACACAAACCGTGTTTCCAGAAGGACTGGATCATGCACACAGCATCTGATAGGCCAGTAAGTGTCATGAATCAAAGGGTAATACCATGAGGATGAGTGATGATGATGACCAATACCACTTCCTTCCCTTTCAGTTCTCCTGGGCTGCGTCCGCTGTGCTTAGCAGGGGTCTCTGGTTCTACGCTGAAGGACTGTTTAATCATTAGATCTCTGCGCCACCAGATCCAGAAGAAGATGCCTGATAGTGCAGCAGCTCAATGATTTAGTTACTTCCGTTTCATCTGAGCTGCTGCATGCTTGAAGAAGCCCTGGCTTTTCTACAGGTATCTGCAACTGTTTGACATGCTGTCTCCATATACAGTAAAACAATTCAGCTTTGTAGAAAGCAAAACATTTTTGCTCAGTACAAACATAAACAAACAAACAAAACACAGAGGTCAGAAAAATTTGATTGTTTAATTTATACACATTTACAACTACAGGACATTAGTTGAATAAATATCTTATGACGTCACATCCCCCTCCCGACCCCACTGCTCCATCAGGGTAGTAAAAATAATTTTCAAAGACAGTGTGGGTGTTGACTTAGAAACTTTAGCAATCTCCTACCCAGTAACTTAGAAATACCTTTAGAATATTAGTCTTTTATTTTTATCGAACTTTGAAGCACTTTAAAGTAATCATTAACTTCATATTAGTAATCCAAGACAGAATCTCACCATACAGTACTTCAGTTAAACACTGGATACCACAGTGACATCAGGTAGACAGAGGAATAAGAGATCGTAATAAGCACTTAAACTGAGGCAGCAGATGACCATTTCTTACAAGTACTGTGTAAACATCCACATGACATGTATGACATTGCAGAGACCTACAATATGTGCATACTGTATGGTAAACTTGTATAATTAGAATAATCAGAAACTTCTAACATAAGGCTGTTAAATTATGAAGGAATGAACTCATTGTATGATCTTTATCTTTAGAGGCATCATGGAGCTTCCAGCCAGGATAGTGAGTAACCAAGTTTCATCTGTGGAGCGCCGTAATAACAATAAAGAAGCAGTCACCATAATCACAAACCACAGTAGTGTCTTAATACTATACAAGCAACCAATGAAAACATCCTGAGCAGTGCTCCTTCACTCACATATCAAGACAAGCTGTGGACCTTCTGTTTCTGGAGGGCCGACAATAATCTTAACTGTTAACTTATTCTGTAAGAAGATGACAAAAAAAGATGTTGTTCTGTGGCATCAGAGGCAGTGCAATGATCTGGTATTAATTTGTAATGATGTCTAACAAAATATGAATATCAAACAAAACACATAGATACGAGAATTTAAAAAGAACGTAGCCAAGGCAGTGAATGGTACGTGCATATTAAACTGAGCAGTGCACCCATGTAGTAGTGGTAATGACCTTCCAGGTGTCAGTAAGATAAAAATAGACTTCTGTCACCAGAGAGACAGGCAGGCTCAACATCTTCACACAGTAGGTGGCTGTAAGCAGACACCCGCCAGCAGCCGTGAGGCACGAAGCTGGCTGCCACAAGCCCACAAGTCATCGCATAGTAGTCATTAAGAGAATTTGGAGATGGCCCATTTCCTTTTCTCCTACTCCCTGGTCCCTTGGGTGCCAAAGAGCAGCATTAGCAGCGTGGCCCTACCGAAACACCTGACTTTTCAGTATTGGCATGAAAGGGAAAAGTGAGACAACATAAATGTCAATGGCAAAGGTAGAAATATTCAAAGGCCTAAAAGGCTGGCAGGAGGCCAGCGGCTAAATACAAAGCACTGGGATGTCTTAGTAACACACAAAAGGTAGGAGAGGAAGGACATTGGGAAGACATAACTGATTGCAATTCCCACTCCTGTTTGGCAAAAATGAATACAAATTTTCAGACACCAAACCATTTCTTCATCTTGTTTAGCTCAAATAAAAACACGTCCAAAGAAAAGAGGACATTTTTGCAATTGGCAAGTTTCCTCGTAACTTTAGGCTCCGTTAGAAAAATAGTCACATCATAAACATGCTTGTTATGTCACTTTCTGTGAAGAATTACAGCAACTATAGGACTATAAAACAATATACACGTTTTGAAGAGAGACAAAGGGATTTTTTCTCTGTAACAAAGAGACTGAGTTTTCAAAGTAGAGGGGCTTACAGTTCCTGTTCCAAACCAGGGACTCCCACTGTCCCTCAAACTCCAGTGGGCTGAAGACCAGAGCAATAACAGTGGTGACTTTTGTTATTAAGAATACCAAATGTCTGTCTGTCTGTCTGTCTGTTTGTGTATGTGTGAGTGCATATGTATGTGTATAGATGACACATTGTGTTAAAAGTCACAATCCAGGAGATCTGGCGAAAACAAATCCTGAAGGTATCTGTGGTGTGTTAGTTTCTCTCTTTCTGTCCCTCCGTTTGGGGTAGCGTTATGTACGAATTTTCCTTTTATCTTCAAACAGCGAGCGGACTAGGTAGACCTGGACCGCCGATACCAACATCATAACAATGAGATTTATCACCGACCAAAAGTTCACCCTGTCAAAGTTACTCTCCTGGATGTTTCGATCGCGAGCCTCGAACGCCCTCAGCAGCGTCTGTATCTGCACACTCTTGCCAAGCCGACTCTTCACATTGTTGATGGTGTCCTGGAGGAGAAGAGACACACAGGTCAGATTGACTGAACATAAGAAAACAATAGTTACAACTTTCAACAACATTCTTCCTCTTGATGCTAAACTAACTTCAGTTTAGGCAGTTTAGTAAACAAAGCAGCTCAATCAGGTGTGTTCCTCCTACCATGAGAAAAGAACTTCCTGCACAGCTGGAAAATACATTTCCTGTCTTTATAGTGAGCCTTATGTGACTTCTGACACAAATTAGTGTGTTTCTGGTGAGGGGGCAGTGCAGGCCACTGTGGTGCAAGCTGAAACAATTGGCTGCCCTTAGCCAATAGGTGAGAGTTCATTACATTGTCTATTCTTGTGACACTCTCCTTGTGACTCTGCCTGTAGGCTGTATTGGAGCTGTTAAGTTACTGCTGAAAAACCCTTCATGTGATGGACTGGATGCTATTTTATTGGCAGCCAGTTGGGTCACTTTGCACCCCCTATGTCATCCTGTGAGCACATGTGGCACAGTGACAGTTATCTCAAAGGCAGACAGGAGAGGAACAAAGTCTGAAACACCCAGTGAGAATAAAACAAACACAATTTCAATAAGTTCTAACGTCTCAATAGTGGCAATCATTCAGACTCAAGGAAAAACATGATACCACAACTCTGGAATGTGTTGCGTGTCAAGTGTAATCTTTTCTCAACAACATCACATGTGGTCTGTCTCAGACTGGCTTCACGCTCACCATAATGTCTTCCAGCTTCATGTCCAACATGTCTGTTCCTTGGACATACTCCTTCCAGTCGTCTGGGTCTTCATCTGTATCCATGTTGTCCAGGATCAACTCAAAGAAGATGAGCTTCTCTGAGACAGAACTGAACGTATTGTCAAAGCAGAACATGTAGTCTCCATCCTCAGTTTCAACACTGGAGGAAAAGCACAGAGAGTAAGAGCTTACAAAAGGTATCTGTTTTCAATAATGTATGTCTCTCGTGTGTAACTCACGTGTGCACTCCATCTGACTTGCGGTAGTCACTGAACAGCACTTGGCCAGAAGGAGAGGAGATAAAGAAATCTACATCGAGACCTGCTCCATCTAATACCTGTGGACAGTCGAGGACATTCACACATGAGAAGTAAACACATTAAAAACAATACTGGCAGTTTGTTTGGGTTGATGCTTTTCTTCAGTGTAGCAGCACTTAATCTCGGTATTAATATATATTTTACATTAATTGTGAAGAATGCTAGTTTTCCCTCTCAAGGTCTCCCTCATGCTCCACTGGAAGCGATAAGCCTGATAACCTTGTCCTCCATGATAGACACTACAATAGACATAGAAAATACTTGGGATGTCTCCCACAGGCAATAACGTAAGGCAACTTTCTGACATCGCCCAACTTGTAGTCGGTGCACACTGACCGGCATAACAAGTTCCCAACAACATGCTAATCGAGGTTTGAGCCACATAACCTGTTGGTTCTCTTGCACAATAGAGACTAAGACCTAGTAGTATACCTGTGTGGTTTTGTAAGAATATTATCTGTAAATGAGAACCACAACAGGCAGAAAACGTGAACAGTAATCATAAAAAGGGATAAGCAACAGGTTTGTGAAGTGTACTGTTATGTCAATGTTGACTCTAGCTTTAGAGGGTTATCATTGATTTGGCAGACAGTAGACAGAGATGGCTAGTTTGTGTTTACTCAGCTATCGTCACAATTTCACCCCAAGATTATCGCAGTTATAAGAGTCTTAATGACCTGATACTCAATCTCCAGAGAGGCATCTTTCTTCATGGTCTGGTAGAAACACTCCTTCCGACCGGCGGGCAGAGTGAATGTGAAGTCGCTGTCCAAAGACTGAGAGTAGGCAGCCAGCACCGCAAACCTCTCCGAGACTAGAGCAACAAACACAGGCAGGACACACAAAAGTACCCGGACCACCTCCATAGTCAAGGGACTGGCTAAAAGTCCAAAAGAGCCCAAACGGTGTCACAATAGCTAGCTATTTTATTCGTCAGAGGACAGCGACGCAGCTAACGTTAGCTATGTTCGCCCAAACTTCACTTGTGTTAAAATGTTCTCAGTACTGAGGACTGCCCAAACTTCAGGACCCCGCCGGTTTAAAATAACTACACATTTTTATTTATTACCTTAAACACTGTCGGATCAATTCGCTATTCTATGGTAGATTACTCTGATTTAGTTTGTTTTGCATCGTATTCATCATTTGGTATATATTATGGACAAGTGAAGGCAATGTTTAGGGCTCTTTTCGAGTTGCACTCTGGGATATGTTGTTCTTTTGTTCATGTGGAATAGACATAAGGAACCAAAGAATGTATTACAAAATATATTCCTTCCTTTTAATAACAAAAGTGTAATGACTAATATAAGTTACACATATAAATAAGGAGGATAATATTGACAATATATACAGGTATAAAGATGTGTTTGTATTTGGACAACATTTTTCTATTCAGTAGAGTCTAATTTGTTACAGACAGAAAACATATTATGGTAATTTAATGAAACTTTAATTTTAATGACAGTTAGAATCCCTACAGAAGGTTTCTGCCCCACTAAATGAAACAAGATGAAGATTAGATGAATGAATGATACAGCCGTAATGAAATTGAGAAGCATTGAGCCTTCAGCTTCAATAACAAACGATTGTTCTTGAAATATCTTTTCAATATTTATTCATTTTTAGCATTATTTTTTACACTAAATGAAGGTGTGTTGCGATGAAGACAAAAGTACACAATGTACACATTGCTTCCAGCATGCACACTTCATCAAGTGATTTGAACTCATGCGTCACTGTCTTTACAGAAGCACGTGTATCGATATTAGTCATCGATATTGAACGCTGGAGATCAGACGATTGTGCAATAACTTTAAATGTTGCGTGCTTTAGAGTTTGATTAACAAGAAATAGGTGACGCGTCCTGCTCAACGATCACCAAGTCAGTCTGAGGGCGGGGCTTTATCCAACACGGTGTTGCTACGTGTGCTGTGATTGGTCAATAAACCCACAGCTCGGATTTGATTGGTCGGACGTTGGGCAGGGGTTGAACTTACCGAGAGACAGCTACCAGTCAACAGCATTGGCTACTGAAGCTAAAAAGAAGAGGACTAGCGGTCTGCACAATGACAATTAGCACACCTCAAGTATAGGTTTTAGGCACAGAAGACAGTCGTTTGTTCTTTTATAATTTAGACAGGCCCTCAGCCAACAAAAAGCTTGTCTTCGGTGTATTGTGTAGCCGTGAGAGATTAGAAAAAACCCCAAAGAGCGAGGATGTTGGTCCCCGCGGGAAGATAATGAAGAGGCTGCGCGTTTTGTTGGTGTGCCTCATTGTAGCTCTCCTGTGCTGGTAAGCTTAGCCCGACATCTCCATCTCCATTCACATTATCAATGCCATGTCGGACAAATCACAGTGGTAACAATAGGCGAACCACGTTCATTGATAATTGTACTGTACGTCACGCTTGGTGCTCGTTGCTTGGTGTCTTTTGCCGCATAATATCCGTCAGTCATCATTGTTCGGTGTCATGAATCCTCCTACACAGCTAACACTATCAGCTACTTAACGTTACACTGTGTGGTGGGATGTTTCATTAATATGTAACTCTGAAGAAGAGCCGGGGTATGATTTTGTCGGTATTTGACATTACTGGTTGATAAAGTTTGTTGTGTATATGTTTTTTTTTTTGTGGGTTAGTAGGTAAGCTCTCTGTCCAGCTGTTGAATAGCAGCATAGCTAGCTAACCTAAACTAAGTGGGCGGTGACAGCAAACGTTAGTTGTCTGCTGGCTGGTAACGTTGATCTTGACTGAGCTGTGTATCTTATCTCTTTAAGATTGTATTTCATCATTTTTGAAACATTTCACTACTGGTTTATTCAATTAACTGAATCATCCATCTCTAAAATGCCAAATCCAACAATTTGATGTCTTAAAAATGTTTGTCTAGGCTACAGATTTGAACCCAGAATGACACGATTTATAATCACATTAAAGTAGAGAAAAGAAAGCATTTCTCTGCTTTTGTGAATTTTTTTGGGGTATTGCAAGCCTAATTAATACATTTTTATAACAAATAATGATTAAATAAGTGGTGGTTAAAATGATCTTCTATGAATTGATCAATAAGTGTAGATACACAAAACAGGATACATAAAATCCACTGCAAAACTCTAGTCTACAGTCTGTATAAAGGTGAAAACACAGTGTGAAAAGATTACTTCACCATCATTATACTTGTACAGATGTAACATTCTGTTATTACATTCAACTATGTAAATAACCTGCACTATATAACGCATGGTGTTTGTGTAGTTCCTCTCCAAAGTACATGCACGCAGTTGTGACATCTGGTAGATTAGCACAACTCATGAATTTGTTAAATCTCCGAGGCACGGAGCAGGTAACAATACGCAGGGTTTGTGAAATGGGATTAACAGGGCAGCTAACATGCCACCTTTATCCAGATTGGTGACTCAGGAGCAGCAAACCCTTCAGTGTACGGCCTGCAGGCTGTTTCTTTCTCCACTGGTCATTTGTTTGTGAAATTCGCCGTCACTTGACTAATCTCTTGACAATATACTTGAAGAGGGTTGCATGATTTTGTTCTTTGGGAGAATAATAATATTAATAATCTTATAATAATTGGTTGAAAAAATAAATCCAAGCTACATACAATTATTAGTTGTAGAAAGTAACGTTGCAACATCCAACAACTTCCAGATACGTAATACTCTTACTTTAGATGTGCAATTACTTTCATTGTTTTCAGGAAATGGTATTTTAATACTGGTGTTACCAGTAAAGTAAAGTACAGTACAGTGCCAACAATAGTCCTGTAGTGGTAACACCAGTTCTAATGATCATATTCCTTTCATTTTACTTGACGTCTCTGATAATAATAGTCTAAAACCAGCAGTGTTTTTTCCTCCTTCCTGTTTCCTCATAGCATCAGAAACAGATTTAAATGCTCAGGTTTTATTGAGCATAACAAGGATAAGACTTATGTAATTCCCTCATCAATAAGTAAAACTTACTAAAGTTAAACCTTCACTCAGACTATGATAAATCTACTTCTTAGTCTCTGTAACCCTTGCTCCTTTTTGCTGAAGAATAATCATATTCCCATAGATTAGATATTCTATTATTTCTAAAAGAGTTCAGGTGTTGCTCAGATAAGATTTTGTATACTTTTTCATCTTTATAACAGGCAAGCAAAGCAGAAAGAAACACAGGCAGGCAGAACAGGGTGCTGTTCTCTGCCTCCTGAAGTCCTGTGGAACAGGGATACTGACTGAGGAATCAACATATTTGTAGTTAGTCATTTAAATTGAAGCAAGGTCCAAGGGAATATTGAATTATAGATTTAATTCACGAATGAGACCGCCTTTTCTGGTAACAACTAGATTTAATTACAGCCTTACATGTCAGGTGTTTGCTTGCGTAAAACCTTGGGACACGTTTTCACTTTCCCACAAACTGACTAATGACCATGCAACCCCACGCACAGACTTCATTACTAATGCAAACCCCTTTTAGTGTGCTGCTGTCAGCTTCTCGCTCCTCTGTGCCAACTCTCACACGTCCCAGGGGGAACAGAGAAATGGGGTATGCAGTCCTTGCAGTAATCCAAAGGTTTCCAAGGCAGCAGTAATTTTAAGCAGAAAGGGGCTCTGTATTAGGAGGCTGGTGGCAAAAGACTGTGGGGGGCATCATTCTCTTGTTGTGATTCAACTGCTGTTTTTTTGCTGTGCAAAAGGGCTAATGTTGAGATTTCTGGTTCAGATTCCATGTTTTTATTTGTAATGTGACGCCTTGTCCTCTGTATGTTACTGTGAGACTGCTGTAGCTGCTCAGCAAAGAGATCTCTATGCTGCAGTGCTCAGAAAGGCACAGCAGAATGTACTGTGTGTGTGCCATGCTGCCCCTTTCACTCACGTAGTCAGCAACAGGGATCTTTCTGTGTGCTGGCTCAGGCTGTTGACATCAGCATCGGTGGAGAAAGTTTACATGTGTGTACTTGAGAGTGTTTGCGTGATGGTGCACATTCCCAGCCAGGTTGATTGTTCGTAATCATAGTTTTCCTCCCACATATATTTTCTAGTTTAGTGCCTAGCAGTGGCTGAGCGTGGTGTGTCAGCACTCCTCTATGTAGTAACACAACTCTGATTGCAGGTTATGAACCGATATAGCTTGCTGTTGGACTTTCTCTTAAACAGCTGGCATCGGTCCGTTAATTGTATTTTCTGTAAAACTACCCGAGAGGCGAAATTAACAATTATTGCATTTGTGCAGGAGCACTTCTTGTCATCAACTCATTCGGTCCTTGTGTCATAGGCTTATTGGTTTCACAGCCATTTGAAGATTATTGTTATTATGTAACGTGATTAGCACTCAAGAGATAATTCTGCAGCCAATTGACCAACTGGGGATTTTATATTGTATTTCATTAGAGTGCAGACTCGCTCTTATCATCTGTAGCTTAACAAAACTAGCAAAGCATAAAAAAACGTTCTGAAAAATAAATGAAGTTGTCCACTCAGTGCTGTTGAATTTTAAATCTGCTGACTCGCATGATTATTGTATAATTTAGTGTTTGTGCTGATGACTAGTCTTTTATGTAATTAAATGCCTTTGATGCTGGTGTGGCTTTTGTTTTTGCTTTTTACACACAGAGGGGTGTTTGTGCTCTTCTGTTCTGACAGCAGCCCAGTAAGAGGACACCTTGTCCAACTTGTTTCCATTGCTAGATAATCTATAGGGTGACGTGGTCTATAGGGGCTTTCACTTGCCCTTTATTGCTAGGTCAGAGTTTTCCGACTCACTGCGTCAGTTCTTGAGCAGTCTTGTGTGTAAACCTCTGTTTTGTAGCACACATACCTTTGGCTATGAAAAAAAACAGCCAAAAGAAAGTTCACAATGAGTTAGCTGACAATTAGAGTATATAATTGTCTAATAAAGCATCAGGCTTAAAAATATTTCTTGACTTTGTGCTCCTTCATCTGAACGGTGTCCACTCTAACTTTGTCAAAGGCAATGTGAGCACTATATAAACAAGGAAGCCACGGTATAGCGAGAGGACCCTCTCGTTAAAAGAACTATGTGTTCTGCCCACATCGTAAAAGTTCCCTTTTTGGGGCAGTTGTTGCATAAGTAGATCCTCCCTGTGTTGCCCACGTGTATCAGAGGCCAGGGAGCCTTTTGTCACTGATAGTACTGCTTATACTGCCCACATGTAGACACACTCACCAGCATACGTACTCGGCACTGAGAGTAAATTACACATGAAACAGAGGAGGCTCTGTGTGTGTTTTGGGGGGAGGGGTCGGACCTTGAAGGTAAAATGGAAGGTAGCAAAGCCTAACTTGGGACACGATGATGTTGTAGGGCTGCTCGATTATGGAAAAAATCATAATCACGATTATTTGGGTCAAAATTGAAATCACGATTATTCAAACGATTATTTTTTTAAACTTCAGAAACATGCTGCATTTATTGGACATTTGTCAAAAACTCTTTGCAAGGAAGTCCTCAGCTACACTTTCCTTTCCCCATAAACATTCGTAAGTCTCCTTTTTACATTGACAGTCATAGTGCACTCTTGCACTATGGTGGGTCCGTTTTAATTGGACAACGTTCAACTTGTCAGTTCTCAACTCAACGTCCTGATATCAAACATCTGGAAACATTAAAACGGTAAATATATTTGTTTGTGTCGCAGCGAAGTGTCACTTCTGTTTCATACGTAAAACGTTTGCCGGCCTGACGGAAATACGCATGCACGAAATACGCAGACTGTGGCTGTGTCCCAATTCAGGGGCTGCATCCCTGAATTGGGACAAAGCTTTTTTCTGTACAACGTTGCACAACAGAAAATGAAAAGAAAATCGTTTCCCCCTGATTTTATTAGTTTTGAGATCGTTTGGCCCCAAAATCGTAATCATGATCAAATTTTGATTAATTGAGCAGCCTTATGATGTTGCTTTAGCCTTTTCCTGAAGCTCATCGTTCTCTCAACTTCATTTTATCCAGCTGCCTTTTTTGTAACTTTTATGATCCTGTAACACTGTATGGCAGCTGTGATTTACAGTCCAGTTGAAGGTTGAAAAAGTATCTAAAAGGGGGCCACTTCAGCAGCATGTTTGCCACATTCTGACTTCATGTTGAGTCATGGTTGGGTGGTCAGAGGAGTATGATCAGTAAGTGGTCCAACCTAGAGGTATGGACATATACTGGCCAGTCATGAATGGTCCTACATCTTTTATGTAGTCTGAAGGAGATGTTGATATTAATTTATAACGAGTTGCAGTCACATACTGAACTGTTGTGCATGTGAACAGACAGATGCACA